GTACATACATACAAATTAACCACATTTTTTAATATTCTTATTATTTTTGAACCATTTTATAAGTGCTTACTTCTCATATTTTATTTCGAAATTTTGTAATTTGTTTTTAAACCGGTAGCTTGAAGACGAAATCTATTCTACTTTTTTTTTCTCGAAAAAAAAACACGGTAATACATAAGCTGTATTTTACTTCAACGCAAGTCAATTTTCACTAGAATTACTTTCATCATAAATAGGCAAGCCTTAACAGTAACGTCACCATTGTTTCTCATATTTTCTATATTGTGAAGGAGTAGAATATTCTCAGTTTTGAGAACTCGAACGATGTTTACATTACATTGTTTGAAGTTCATTTACATTTTAAATGATGTATATAGCATCGTATGAAGTTCATTTACATTTTAATTGGTGTAATAGTAAATAAACTCATCATAGATACCCGGATTAAAAATTTGAACGCCAGACGCGCGTTTCGTCTACAAAAGACTCACCAGTGAAGCTCGAAACAAAAAGTCAAAAAGGCCAACTAAAGTACGAAGTTGTAGGGATTTAGGACCAGTACTACTAATTGGTTTGTCGTAGGTGAAGACATCAGAGGTAATTCCGTGGTAACAAGGTTAAAGGGTACATCCATCAACATGATTGGCACTGAATTGGATGTTTTAATATTGGTTTTTGATTTGAAAAAAAAAGATATTACCAGAAGATAAAGCTACAGGAAATACGTTTCCCTTAATCGACTGTGTATTAATTGAAATATCAAAGCCATCATAGAATACTAAAACACATTTACGATACACATATGTATCGTAAATGTCTACACAGGAAATATTGCGTTAGGTGTCAATTTGAAGTATCACATGTTAAAGAAATAATTGATGAGAGGTTATGTTAAATAGAAATATGTTACAAGTTGCTCGCAAAACCATAGTTGTACTAACAGAAAAACACGTTGGTTATTAAAAATTTCAAGGTACGATTTTTAAGACTATTGAGACCAATACAAAAAGAAGATGTGGTATGATTGCCAATGAGACAGCTTTTACAAGAGACCAAATGACACATAAATTAACAACTATAGTTCACCGTACGGAAATTGCTTTAATATGAACAATCTATCAAATACGCCATAAAACATCACTTTTCAGATGGTTTTTGTCTAAAATGTAAGTGGTCGCATTCGTGCTCAGTCTCAACTTTTATATATGTAATGTATATTAATAAAATACAACATATATTTGAATATTAAGACTGAAAACAAATGCAGCCACTCCCATTTTAGTAAAAAAAAACGTCTTTAAATTAACACTAATGGTAAAATTGTGAAGATTTCAGCAATTTTGCTTGAATTTATAATGCTAGTACCTGATAAATTTGTACTCTATTGTCAAAAAATAAACCCAGCCCATATTTATGGAACAAAAGTATCCTACTTTCCAATAAATTGCCAAAAGTGTAGATTACAACAAATTTGCAAAAATGCTATATTTAGGTGGCCCAAAAACTGGTTTTACCGGGCCTTCCCTTTTCTATCAAATAACTGTAATATGTGCAAACATTGGATTTACGATTATACTACTATGAGTTTGTTAGCTGATATACACAATTGAGAAATGTTATTTTGGAAGAGAGAAAAATGGAAAAAAAACATATAGTTGTCATTAAATACGGAATTTGCGATGATTTTGTGAATGCAAAAATTGCGACGAAATAGGAAAGGCTAAATTAAAAAAACAACTCGCATTAAAGATTTAGAAATATGCGTAAGCCGCATTTCCTGAGATCAATACAATAATATCGTATTGTATGCCTTTATATAATAATCGTAATAATGAATACACACAGAAAAATCGGGAGTAGATCAATTTAGTCTTCAAAAAGATTAGAATTATAGCGTTTATGATTTGTTTATTAATGTTTTTCGCAATTGAGATCATGATATTGACACCTTTGAAATAGAAGAACAGGCTATTTTATTATGATAATCCTTAATGAAGATATAAATGTGTAATGACATACCCAGCCTTTTCCGCACATACACCCTTATCGCCGAAATTTAGAGTCATTACAATGGCACCCATATTATACAGTACTGTACAGAAAAACAATAATTCCAACATTTTTAATACACACTATGTCCAGACTATCAGGAAGTATTAAGTTTTAAATTTTAGTTGTTTAGTTGAACAAAATCACCGGATGGAATACAGGATAAAACAGCCAATCAATGAGGAAGTTGTATTTATTGGAGTGATAAATAGCAATTTTCATCACACGTGCTGTTTGAATGATTTAAGTATCATTCTATTTAATATATAGGAATTATATATAGACAAAATAAAGATTGAATATTAAATAAAATTAAGTGTTGTAACCAATCACAATAAGGTATAGCTTATCCCACTTGAAATTAAAATTCGTTCATTTTTCCCTTTTTGATTTTTTACCACCCCTCTGATATAAATGCCATAAGGGAAGTCTGTGAATTGTGATATTTATAGAAAATACCAAAACAGATGGAAATACCAATTACAAATAGATCATTTTTGTCGCCCCTGCGACGAAACTCGGGAAATGTAAGACATATGGATTGCTACCCGGCTGCGGCGGCAACATCGACGACGGCGTAAATTATTTTTTATAAAGATTTGTATTCAGAAGGTAAAAGGCCCTGATGCTGTATACCTTGTACATATTAGTTTGGAAGGTTTGATATGGCCTTGACCTTCTTATTGTTCATTTGACAATGTTAAGATTTTGTGGTGTGGTACATTTCTAATATATTATATGCAATATGGTCGTTACATCTAGTGTATTGAATCTGTAAGGTGTTCATGTCTGTCTGACAGGTTTCGTCTGAAATTAACTCATTTTCATTGTTCATCTACTTGTCCAAGTTAAGTTTGTATGGCTACGGCTATTTCTCGGTTACAATAAGCAATAAGTAAGCTTTATTTAGTTTATCGAATGATTGCATGGTGTCTAGTTGGGTTCATCTGACCTTGAATTTTTTTAATGGTTCATTTTTCATAATAAGGTCTGTTTCTCGAATATTATAAAAAAAAAGTGCTAACTTTATTTGCTGTACGGAATGATTGTACAAAACTGACAGTGTCGACATAATTTCTTTTGCCTCCTGGTTACTTTATAATGAGCGGAAACTGACAGTATCAAAGTTATCTGAAGGTATTTTCAAACTAAATTTTCAAGAAAGTTTCATTGAAAACATTATTATGAGGGAGGGTCCTTTGGAAATTGACAGCGTCGAACGTATCTTTGTATTATTCATTGTCAAAAGTATTTTCCTAAAAAAATCCTTAACATGAAGGGTTTTTTGTGTGACCTGACATTGTAAAACGTAATTAAATGTTATTACGAAACGTCATTTCTTTAAAATTTTCTTTTTGAAGCTTTTAAAGGAATGTTTTCCATGGGGAAACTGTTGAAAAATCTAGATATCGTCGAAAGTTTACTTTTTTTAAGTGTTTCCTGGATAAAATGACAGGAAATATTACAGTTCAATGAATTGTTTAATGTTTGAAGGTTGTTTCCTGGTGAAAATGAAAGCATTCAATAGTGGTTGTTGAAATGTTTTATTGCTAAACTACTTACCGATCCTCTGATCCTAATTCGGATCATAACAATTTGTTTCGACTGTATTTGTGGATGAAAACCTCACGTTCTTAACTACCTTACTACACACAGATAAATTGGTGCTTAAATGAAGCCTATAATTCTCAATTACTCTCAGGTTACAATTATTGACTTGATTAAAGTGCTACTAGAACACATCCGCGACACCACGGGTCCGTGTCTGAATTGAAGTAGCTACGCCTTTTTTTTAGCCTTAATTTTAAGTATTGGTATTGTCATCTGAAAATTCATGCTGATAATAAGGTGCACAATTTATTCTGCTTTCAAAATCTTGCTTTTTGAACCCGTTGACCCTGAACTTGTTATTTATTGGTTATATCAAATATGTGAAAAACAAAAGGCTCTGACATGGTGTAATCTTTAACCAACACCAATGTCCTATGTTAGTTATATATAAAGTTAACTTCTTTGATTCGTCTAGTTTAAGTCATACCGGCTAACTAATTGGAAAGTATCTACGCCATATTTTAGCCTAGACGTTGATTATTCGTATTGTTATCTGATAAAGTCATGCTGATTATAAGGTGCACAGTTTTCTATCATTTTTTCTGTTTTAACCCGTCCTTTTTTTTACTACAACCGGAAACTACATGTGACAATGATTGAATTTAGTAGTGTCAATCCCTGTATAAGACAAAGTTTGAGTGTTATTATTACCATATAGCAAATCCCCTAAATACCGTGTGGTGGTGTGCCTGACAGAGGCGGAACATACATGTAAGTTAACAAGTAACAAATGATATATGCTGTTGGTATCGGTATCGGATTTGACCCGGAACTTGTCAATAATTAGTAATATTAAGTATGTGAAGTACAAAGGTGTAATTTTTAATCAACACTATTGTCCTATATTAGTTATATATGAAGTTGATTTCTTTGATACGTTGTTTTCACGTCATGCCGGGTAACAAATTTGACCTCGTTATATTATTAGTATAGATATGTGTCTATGATAAATATATAATACATGCATAACTCTGTACAGTAATATAATTAAACAAAATAATTCAAAATTATTTTCTATGAGATGGAGGGTATTTGCCAGTCTGTTTTAATTCCTATGTGAAACACAATAAATGGATAATCTTGTTATAATAGCCAGCTGCTAATTTGACGAGTATATAATGTGAGTTCACCCATGTTTAAACACCGATGTGTCTTCACAGACATTTTTTTTAATCTTATTACGATGTTATCATATCAATTAAAACTCCAAAATGGCTATTGATTAATGTCAAAGTATATAACCCTGTATTTAGGACAAGTTTGTCTTCCTAACAAAAGATAAATAGCAATGAAAAGCACTTTAATAAAATCAATAATTGTAACCTGTCATACCTGGATAGATTTAAATCTAATGGCGTCTGTTCGACAAATATAAAGGATTTTAAAGTTTAAAAATTTGGATTTAATATCTGTGCTATTCGATAAGGTAAACAATATGAAAGAATTTTTGGTTCTTACAAAAAAATGGAAATTTATGTTATTTCTTTGTCATTTTCTGTTTCAGTTCTTACAATTACGTGTCACAGTTTAAATTTATCATAACCATTTTACAACTATTGCTGTGTTTACACAATTAAATGTATTCTACGTATAGACAAACATATGCAAATTTTAAATTTGAGGCATGGTAGCACCAAGATAGTTCAAAATTATATTGATTTTGTGTTTCAGAAAGTAACAACTCCAGAAGATGAAATAATATACAATCACTTGTTCATGTTGTTTGTTAATTGATAGTGCAAACTCATTTTAGGTTGATACCCAGTTAAAATGAAACAAAAGAAATGAACTATTTGTTAGAAAAGGTAACAAAGCCAAATTGGTATTTTTGAATTGTTGAAAAGTTTAATAAAGGTGCATAATTTAGGATTTTATTCCTCATATATACACGTTTTTACTTAAATTATAGGATGGAGCTTCGAAATATTTGCAAACTTTAAAATTATAGGAAAATATTTATATAACAGTTGATTGTGGTAGGTGCAAAAACAAGTGGATTTTTTTGGTGAATAAGCATAAATTCCAACGTAAAAATGCACAGAAAGATAAAAGATTGATCTTTTTAAAGCCTTAATTCGCATCTCTGCCCACGGCAACAGTTTTTTTGGAGAAAAAAAATACTAAAAATGGGCAATAATTTCATCGAAAAGAGAATGTTCGAGTTGACTAGTCTGTCTTGAAAACGTATAAAGCAAAATTATTCGATACATCATTTCGCTTCAGATTCTGTTATTTTTATATATTTAGGTTACAGGTTATTTAAATAACATTATAAACCACAGTACTAAACGTTTAAATATATGGGTCAAGTGAAATATCTTTCATAGGAGTCATAACAACAGAGTAGGTGTGTTCGAATAACAAATTTTTACAAAAGTACTTGACGACAGATTGTACAAGTGGATCTTAAAATACATAATTTCAAAACACTCCACTTTTGTATGTATTATTAGTCTTCAACCTCTGAAATTTTGTAGTCTTCCATTCCACGAAATATTTCATTAGAATCTTTTTAAATGTTTATGAACTTTCGAAAATTCCACCTGACAACTGACTAGACAATAGTTTTAAATTCATTAAATGCAGAAAAGTACATTAAATGATGCTCAATAGGTAGTAGATACATTTGTCTTTAAAAATACAACTGGCATATAAGGAACGCAACGGTGCTATGTGGAAACATATATCGGTTTTCAATAGCTAAATTGGCAGCGCGTCATTCCTGCAATGGCTTCCATTTAAACGATTGTAAAAACTAGCGGAAGTAATGGGGAGATAATTTTGACGAAGTATAGTCCTGACTGATATACACTGAGACCTATTGTTTTGCAGATGCATATTTTATATGTTTCCTCTAATTGTATATCAATGAATGCAACAATTGTTCCAGTAGAAAGATACCTCCTTTTTTTTTCTTTTTTAATTCAAGGAATAGTTTTAACATTCTCAACCACACAATGAATTTAATTTGAATTTGTGCTGACTGTGTTACTTTTTAAATGGCACATGTGTTTTTTCTGTATTCAGAATTTGTCGAATTTTTAATTGTAAAACACTAATCACTGGTTCTACACAGAGTTTATGCACTAGTTTTATCCAACAAATATCTACAAATACAAAATAAGCATTTAGACGATGAGTAAGGGGAAACAAGGTAGGATATTAGTGTACTATCATTCAAGCAATTTGAAAAATCCCGTGAAGTTCTTGAACTATTTTGGATACAAAGACTTCAAACAGCTTATCCTGTCGGTCTCAATGACAAAATATTAAGACAGGAGAACATATCTTAAACTTCTATCGATGTCATTTATATTGTCGATAAACGACTTAGAAATAATAGATCTCATGGTAAACGCAAAAAACCGTATTATGCAAACTTGGTCATATACCAATAATTAAATTATATGCTATTTTTCAGGAGTGTGGTAAAATTTCGTTTTTTTAGCCCGTTGTATGAATACACCCATATTATTCCAGCCTTTTGTCATCAGAGGCTGTTTCATTGTATCAATAAACCTGAAAATCATAAACGGGATTTTCTTAAATAAAAATATATAAAAGAGGTATTGATTTTATAAACTTAAATGACTTTACCATCCATAGCCAAATAACTCCATATTTTGATAACACAGAACAACATATTATTTCGTATCCTTATAAAACAAAACAGCAGAAGTTTGATTTCTAATTATACGTCAGTTACATCAGATGTCAATATAGAAAATGATGCTCCTTCCACTTGAGACTGTGAAACATCTAGTTTTAGATACGTTCCCTATGGTCATGTCATTACAGGAGACCTCAACATCGTCGAAGACCGCGATGTCAAAATTTTTCTTAAGAAAGGACCTAAATATCGTCCTCCATCAATAAAAGATTGGAAACAGTGTCGTCAGGTCATTTAAGACGCTCTGTCTGCCTACTGTACAAATTGGTGTAAACGTGAAAAATCTGATACAAATCTCTAGACAGTTATTTGAATAAAATTATGAATACTGTTGATATTCGTATATCTTACAATTCTGAAATTAATGATAAGGTCCATGATATACCGATTTCTAGAATAAAGAATAAACTACAAGTACTCGCAAAGCGGTTTGTGTTCGTACCGGCAGACAAAGCAGCCAATAATGTAGTGGTGGTATGACGCATTTACTACACGGAAGTTCTCCAAAACGAAATGATCAATTTGTCTACATTCAGATCCGTACGTTCCACAGAGAGTCAAATTGTAAACAAGTATATCACTGCCACTACCCAGCTTAAAGCCTCTTCCGAACATTTGAAAGTCCCGGCTATATACTGGTTATCTAAATTACACAAACAACCATTTAAATTCCGTTTCTTCTCCGCATCCAGTAATTGTTCTACTACTAATCTGTCAGTGCTTCTAACTACCTCCTTTACTAATATCAAAGAACTTGTTATTAACTTTTAAAATGGGAATTAATTATTTTTTGGAGTGTTAGAAAATCTTTAGAGGTTGTAGATCAAATACGTGCTTTTGATGGTCCTTTTAATTCAGGTGACAGTTACTTTTCTGCTCTCTAAAATACACTTCCACACAATCTTATCAAGAAAAAATTTTCATATTTAATTAAATGGTCTTTTGAAAAATCTCATTGCAAATTTATTTGCTGTTACTCGTTTAAAGCCTTTTTCTGAAACGAAAAAGGAAAGTATGCTAGATACACTTATTGGAAATATGAAGATATGATTGAAGCTTCAAATTTTCTCCTGGACAACATATATGTACGTTTCGTCATAAAATGTATCGACAGGTAGTAGGTATTTCTATGGACACTAACTGCGCCCCTTTAAAAGCAGATTTATTCCTTTATTGCTATATGAATCTCAGTTTATTACCAAACTCACTAAAGACACGTCATTGTTACATTGGGTTTATACTTTCAACAATACCTACCGTTATCTTGATGGTATTTTTTCGTTAAATAATCCAGAGTTCTCTAGATATAGTACCGAAATTTACCCAAAGGAACTTACTTTAAAAAAATCTTACATTAACAGCAGTAGTTGTCTTTTTCTAGACTTTTTTCTTAAAATGTCCTGTACCAAGTCAGGAAAATGGCCATTGTTATATTATACTTCGTTTCTGTGTGTGTTACATTTTAATGTTGTGTTTTTGTTGTGTCGTTGTTCTCCTCCTATATTTGATGCGTTTCCATCAGTTTTAGTTTTTAACCCGGATTTGTTTTTATCTCTATCGATTTATGAGTTTCGAACAGCGGTATACTACTGTTGCCTTTATTTAGACATTTAAATTTCTAAAGGGAAACTCTATACTAAAATTGACGACAAGAGAGACAAATTTGTATTCCTTATTGCTAATTTTCATTTTTCAGACGGCGATGTTCCTTTGACTCCACCATACGGTGTTTATATATCCCTACTCTTTCATTATGCCCGTGTGTGTAGTGATGTCATAGATATAACGAATGTTATCAATGCATCTCTGGTAAATTATTAAGTCAGGGATTTCGTTACCATAAATTACTTAAACCTTTCACTAAATTCTTTCATAGATACAAAGATTTTATTAGAAAATGTGTCTGTACCTGTAGAAAACGTATTAAAACGGTATTTCAAATCCTAAATTTTACGGTGTAATGTTGTACTAAAAGGCGCGGAAATCACTATGCTATCCGTGTAAACTCGTCGAACCTTTAAACAAACTTATTAGTAAAGATTTTCTTACTAATGTTGTAATTAGATCTTGGAATATAGTTTACATTGGCACAAATATCGATTTTGTCATCAGCAAATTAAAACATAACTAAATTTGTATTCTTTGCAATGGGTTTTTTGAGATGTATAAATACACATCAACGTTCGTTTTCTATATAGAGATCACTCTATATACATATAACATTATACATATTTATAAAAAGGTTAACTCCTAACTATCCTACTGCCTGTCCATAATTTTATTTTGGCATTGCACAAGTCATGTCTCCTTTGACTGTCCATGACGTTAAAACACCATGTATACCTTACAACAAAATTATTTATAATTACCTGTGTAAGTTATTTTTTTTTGGCGGCATTTTGAAGGTATGGTTGTTTTTCTGGTATTGTTTTACATCTTACCCCATTTTTTATTAAGTTTGTATTTACATTGTGTCATAGATCAAATTTATTCGTTCAGTGTATTTTCATTTGTTTTTCTTAATATGTCTTTTGATTGAGTTAAGCCATTTCAATTGATATTTCATAGTGTGTCTTTCTATGTTGTGATGTTACACTATTGTTTCAGGGTAGAGTAAAGGTTGGCGCCTATTAAAACGTTTAAATCCGCTGCATTTGTTTGCAAATGTCCTAAGTCAGGAAACTGATGTTCAGTGATGTTCGTTTGTTGATGTGGTTCATAAGTGTTTCTCGTTTCTCGTTTTTAATATAGTTTAGTTTAGTTATGGTTTTCCTGTTTGAATGGTTTTACACTAGTAATTTTTTGGGCCCTTTATAGTTTGCTGTTCGGTGCGAGCCAAGGCTCCGTGTCGAAAGAAGTACTTTGACCTATAATGATTTATTTTTACAAAAATACGACTTGGATGGAGAGTTGTCTCATTGGCACTCAAACCACATCTTCTTATATCTACTAAATAATAATGTTTCATAACCAGAAGCTGTAATTTTAAAATCATATAACAATACGAACTATAAAAAAAAGTTTCAATGATAATTGAGATGTAGAACGTTCTAGGACGTTCATGGTTATGCAACTATCTGAATTAAATACATGGTCAACAATAATAAAAGAATTAGTAATGCCTTTAACGTAATACACTTGTGGGGTTTTTTTTTTTTTGACTCGAAGAAGTGGTGCAGACGAGAATAAGGCGTGCTGTTTCTTGCGTTGTCATTAGTGGCGACAACAATTTAAAAATTAGTTATTAGATCAGTTTAAGGGGAACTACTAATGGTAGATCAATGATATTAGTTATGCAGTTGTGTTAGCATAATTCATATATTGGTAAACTATTAGTCCCGGAGGGTATAACCCTGCCTGTTGCCAGTACTTCGGTACTGCATTTAGATAGGGATATTGTTTGAATTAAATTTGTTGTTTTAAAATTTTGAAATAATTTTCAATTCAGGAATAAATTTTCCTCCTATGAAAAACTGAATCCTTGGAGACCGCTATAATTTAGGTTCTTTTTTTCAGTTTGATAAGCTCTTCAACGTTTTTCGCAAGTATTTTGATCTTGAGCATCACTGAGCAGACAATGTTTGTTGTAATGCGCTGTTGGTGCAGTATAATTTGTATCGTTAATATTTTTCCATGGAAAGTATTTGTCAGAAGGTACCAAGGGGACATACAAAGGTCATCAGTAAAAAAATATACTGATAACGCTATCGCAAAACACGAAAGACGAACAAAACATTTTATATATCCTCTGCATGCTTTTGTGATTACGATAACACCAAGTAACGTGAACATTTTTAGCAAGACCAGCAACAAATCAAAATTCAGATACTGCAGACCAACCGGAACCGTAATATATAAGTATAAAGTAGTTTGTTATAGGGAAGATTATTATTGATTAAAATATACAAACTATGATCCATTATGTTGACTTTTACTATGTATCTTAATTTTTGTCGTTGTAGATGACACGTATTAGTACTAAAGAAATCAATTCATGAATAATGAAGAACATATTCATCCTTTGGTTCGTCTCTCAGGTAAAAATAATTCAATTCTCAATTATCTTCTTTATTTTGTAGTAAAAGTGAATAAAAAATATGTGCCTTAATTTAATCAAATTTGCCGAAAGGTGATTACTGAAGCCTCTACCAATTACATACATCTATCACATGTATCAGTTACTGACAATTTCAGACTTGGGAAATACACATATCTATGGCTTGATTGGTCTAGTTCTTTTAGACTTCATACCAACATACATTAAATATCGCTTGCTTTACCTAAAAGAATATTAAATACAACAAATAAAAAACTAGAAAAGACCCGATCATATGCAAAAAACAAACTAAACAGAAATTGACAAAATTTATATTTTGGTTCTGCTTCAATCTTTAAGTTAGCGATTTGATATGTATCCAAGGAAGAAAATTACATGACCTAGTGATTAAACAACAGTTGAATTATATTGTGTATGAACTAGTACGAAAAGCAAGTTCTACTAATTGGAAGGACTATTCCGTAATGTGTTAACTTAATCTTTGCTAATCATATAAGCTAGAAGAATGAAACATGTACCACAAAATAACTGTGCATGGAATCATTGAAAAACAAAGGATGTGGGTAATCCGTCCATGACACAAAATCAGTACATTCACATAAAAAACACACAAATTTGTGTTTAATTGCAGTACTTATATTTGTTTTAAAATGTTGTACGTTTTTACAATTTTATGATATCTATATTGTTGTAGCGTTGAGCTCTCACAAACATGTTTAACACAGTTAAATCCCTACCAAACCAATTTAGAACTTAAACAATAATTTTGATCTGAACAGCTCTTAAAGGGCTTTACAATGCATGACGTATTCAGTTATGATTAAAATTTCAGAATTATCAAATGCGATAAATTCAGTACTGTTCAGACAATTCGATGGCGACCAATCAAGATCTGTTTAGTCTATGTTTAGATTGTTATTATTTACCTGGCCGTATCAACAACATACTGAAACTGTAAGAAGTTTTAACGAGATTTAACAATTCTAGTTTCAGACTTTTCAGATGATATTCAGATCAAAATGACTGTTCAAGACTATATTTCATTTACAAGTTCATTCTAGATGTTTATAAAAGCAACGAAACGTGATTTGATTGTCTATGAGTATGTGTGCCTGACACAAGGCAAGAATATATAACTGAGTCGTTATCGTTGGTTGAATTTTGTATTCATTTTCTTGTTTTTGGTTCAATATTAGTAGTATGAATTAGATCGTCTGTTTTCTCTTTTGAATTGTTTTGTATTTTCTCATGCCGGGTCCTTATCTTGAAATGTTTTCATTTAAGTACTAGTACTCCTTTAGCGAACTGTCTCTATTTACAATTTGTTTGCTGGAAAAAATGAATGATATTATAAACAAACACTTGTCCCTAATTACTTTCTTGTAAACTCTTTGTGCCAATTCAGTGATTTTAATGAAACTGCAATATATACATCTGAAATGCTAAAAACTGGTGGAATACATCCTATCATTGTGTTATTGTTCTATGGTAAAAAAAAATTGTATTCGTGTCTTTCATTTTTGCTAATGTGCTTTGTCTATATGCCTTTTGTGTTTCTTTGTTACATGACGTGGCTCTGTACTTAAACATCCCGTCATTGTGTTATTGTGCTATGGTATTTTTTTGTATTCTTGTCTTTCATTTTTGCTAATGTGCTTTGTCTATATGCTTCTTTGTTACATATTTGTTTGTTTTCAAAGTGATTAAGATTATAACACAATGTTGACTGCTGTTCCCCTATCTCTGACATTTTTACCTATTATGTCTTTTTGTTTCGTTCACACACCGTTGTCAATATATTGGTATTTTATGCGACTGTCATACAAGTGAGAGGTTTAGCTTGCTATAAAACTAGGTTTAATCTACCATTTTTCACTTAAGAAAATGCATGTACCAAGTCAGGGAAATGACATTCGTTTGATGTGTTTGAGCGTTTGATTTTGCCATTCGATTAGGGACTTTCCGATTTGAATTTTCCTCGGAGTTCAGTATTTTTGTGATTTTACTTTTTGCAGTGTAAAAAACAATTATGTAACAAGTTAGAACGACTTAGCTACATACACCGCGATTGAAATGGGTGTGTTCAAGTTGATAGAACAAAATACTAGTACAACAGAGAGAAGGCAAAATTTTCTCTAAGGTTCTTGATTGTAGACAATTGATACACATGCATTTTTTTATTTTATGTAGGCGTTGTCCTTCAGCGAAGCATACAACTTTTCTTGTCCATCCCAGGCACACAGGAATCTTCGGGCCAAAGCTATCTGTAATCGGCCAATAGATTATACCTGTTTATACAATGTGACATTCCAAGTTAATGTATACGTGGATGAATGTGGTACAAACAGAATTTTATATCCTGGTACATCATTTAAATTTATATATGATATATTTTAAGAGTATATTTTGCAGACGTCTTTTTTTTCTGCCATTCGGTAAAGTAACTGTTTTAATAAATATGTCCTCTATTGTTTAGATATAACAAACTATTGTCAAATTAAAAAAAAAATCAATTTACTTTTTTAACTGATATACACTTACTATTTATGTATAGTTTTTATCACGTTGTACATTTTGCAGGTATGATATTACAAACATGAATAATGCTAACAGATGAATGGCAGTATAGGCAAGTATTTTTATCTTATTGTTGGATTAATATATAATATATCCATTTAAACATTATTTGATTATATTTGTAGGTTACAAATACGTCTTTCAACCGAACTTGAATAGAGCAACATGCAGGGATATACGATATCAGCCTTTTGTTTTTGATACGGGTTTGTTCAGTGACTGCGCCTTTCTAAAATCTTTTTGCAACAGCGAAGGTCAGACGACGTATGAAATTGGAAACATGACGTCCGACAGAACATGTATATGTGATACTTATAACGGATATACTTATGTGAAGAACCTGAAAAACCAAAGTTACTGTAATCCCTCAAAAGAAGATTGTTCCTGCTATGTCGGAATTCGTTCGAACAACAAACCAAACTGCTCGGAAGGTGAAATATATTACTTCTTTCAAAATAAATAGACCGCTTAAAATACATTCGTGTGGCTTTTTTATGGCATATCATAAAAATATATTGAAAATATGTATTTGCTGAAAATATTCAGGATTCTAATGTTGCTTTTTATTTATTTAGAAAGATATCACAGCGTAGATGATATTGTCAAAAAAACTAGAAATATTATAGAAAAAAATAGTAAAACATACCCTTTGGTCTAAAATAGCAATCTTCATTCAGTGTTAACAATTTCATTCCCAATGAGATTTTGTAGTCATATAAGCAATGTTTCTAATTCTACAGTCATCATTGTTGGTTACAAACATAATTTATAAACGTTGTGTACAAAACATAAAAATCCTCTTATCTTACTTCTGATTAGTATTTCAAATACCCCAAGAAAATGATAAACATTCGAATTTGTCCTTACGTGAATATAAAATGATAGGAACACTTTTCGTACCTTTATCTATGTTTGACACCGTAGTTTCTCAATGATTTCTTATATTAACTTATTGTTGTTTGTTCTGATGTCTTTTGTCTTCTTTTATTTTCGTTGTCCGATTATCTTCGACTACTGAGCTTGAATATCCCTTCAGTATCTTCTGCCTCTCTCTTTTCAACGGGTGATTCAAAAAAAGTTTGAATTATAAACCATGTTAGTACCAGGACACTGCCTACAGAGATAATGATCTCAAGGACTAACATCTCATCAGCAATGGTATCGACCAATTGCTAATCAATTTAAAAACAAATTGAGAAATTATCTGCTCGCGGAATGCTTTTCTGCATTTATTGAGGATGCTCAAACTTAAACATTTGAACCTCAAGCAAGTAATACATAAGGACTTTAATAACCAAAAGCCACTCAATGAATTTCGATTTTATCTGAGGTCAACTTTGCGTAATATAGTTGAAACCTAACTTCAAATAATTCTTGTTGGTTTGTGAACCTTTAGTGTATGTGCCTTGCATTTAAACGAGCATCTGTTAATTGTGTACTTTACTTCAAGGTTCTAAAATGTATGTGACGTTGTAAATATTCTAAACCAAATAATATAATTGTGCATCAATTTTTGTAAAAAGATATAACAGTCATAAAATGTTATGAGCAAGATAATGACAATTTTGTGACGTATCCCCCTCCAAGACAAGGGAGTCACCCAAAAATATTTGTATAATATTACTTTGACCATTTTATGAATGTTAAACAAGAAATGTAGTTAATTTTTTTTAACTTCATAATACATTTAACTTTTTTTCAATTTATTAAACTGAATAATGTCTTATATATGAAATGAACTTTGCTCTAAATTATCACAATACCGAAATTCTTTGATATGTTGGGCTATTTACATACAAGTGAGCACGTTTACTTGGAAACGCGAAACCTTTATAGCAGACAATGTCCATATTTGTTTCCAGATTTAACCTTATAGGAAAAGGAGAAAAGTATGGCATATTTTCCAACTTATTAATGAAATTTTAAGTTTTTTTCATTTTGTCACTTTAAGGACACTAGGACACCACCGCTTAATGAAACATTTAGTTGTTGGTTACCTTGCGAGTAATGAGTTTTTTTTATGTCTGTTTTTATTCTTTTGCCTCTTTTATCACAATCCTGTTCCTCATTATAAATTCTCAAAAAATGTAATGGATGAAATAAAATGTTATTTTTAGGTTTATAAACCAGTGGTGTATTCCTTAAGGGATTTTATTTTTAGCGAGTTAACAATTGTTTCTGGTACTGTTATGAAATGTGTAGATAATAGAAAATCAAGTTCCAACATCTCCACACGTTTACAATATCTAACAAGTCGAACAACCGAAACTTTTTTGTTACACGATTTATGGTTATTATACTCATACTTATAAGTCATAAAGACAATGGAATTCAGATTAACATGTATTGTTGGTTTAAATTATGACTATCGTCATGCATGAGACTGCATGAAAAAAGTAACACTTCTGAAACAAAGAAGTATAAGTTTCCGACAATTACATTTTCAATGCTTTATAAATAACACAAAGAAATAATAAAACACCTTTCGTTAAAGTGAAATGAAACCAGAACAAAAGCAAATAATAAAACCAACAATGAATATATAATTCCAACTACAAAATGTATGTATCTTTATTTTTTCCAGATTCTAAATGCTCAGTTGAAATGAATATTATTACAAACCGCTCATTGAAAGATGCGTAAGTTTAGTTCAGACAAGTTTTTTAACTAAATCACTAACCATAATTTTCATTCACTGTTACATGATATGTTTATATTTTATTCACAAAATTCCATTTCATAACGTATTGAAAAGACAGTACTACACAAATGATGTCATTTGGTTTGAATGTATTTGTAAATTAAGAATCGGTCGCATTATTTGCATACATTAACTTTCTGTTTTTTATCTGTGCTAAGAAAAATACACACAATTAAATACCTGCAAAAAACACTAATTTTGATTGTATTTCCAATATTACGGAACTTACTGAACATGTGCAGCAAACTAGGTAGTAAATACCTGAAAATATATCAAAAAGAAAAAAATGACAAAAATACTGTACTCCGAGGAAAATTAAAAATGGAAAGTTCCTAATCAAATGGCAAAATCAAAAGCTCAAACACATCCAACGAATGGACAACAACTGTCATATTCATGACTTGGTACAGGCATTTTCTTACGTAGAAATGGTGGATTAAACATGGTTTTATAGCTAGCTACACCTCTCACTTGTATGACAGTCTCATAAAATTCCATTATATTGACAACGGTGTGTGAACAAAACAAACAGTCATAATAGGTAAAAAAACAAAAATAGGGGTACAGCAGTCAACAATGGTTATTATCTTAATCACTATAAAACAAACAAATATGTGAACAAACACTTACCATGGCAAAAAAACACAATGACGGGATGTAGTTAAGAGCCACGTCATATGTTACAAAAAACACAAAAAAGGCATATAGACATAGCATATAAGCAAAAATGAAACACAAGAATACACAAACTATCATAAACGGGGTGTATGTTTTGTTTCTATATTCAGAGATTTATGATTGCAGTCATGTCAAATTCAGTATAAAATTCATTTACTGGAGAGAACAGCAACATTAATGTTGCACTTACCTAACGTATTTCAAATTGAAGTATTCTATATAAACTAATGAGTATAGTTGTTTGATTTGATATGTACAATAAGATGCGAAACTAACAGTTCTTTTTCTTTTTGATAGCTATGATAAATCGAAGGCAATAAGGATTATTGAGTTTGACAACTATAGATACAATCTAGCTTTTCCAACAAGTAAGTTTGTGCATGTTTAAGCAATAAACAAACACAAAAAACACATGATCATGTTAGGACAGCATAAGCAGGCAGTTAGTAGCTAGGATGTATTGTGTAACATTGTATATATATATAGATTGATCTGATTCAATTTACATCGTGCTCATATTGATGAAGGATATCTGTTATCCGAAATATTTAACATTGGTTCATTTTATTGTTATTTTATGGTGATGTTGTACCCTTTTAGACTTGTTATATATTATATTTTGTAGTGTATTGTATCATAATTATATGATCCATCGCCCCGTAATATTAGTCGTTGGCTATTATTCGGTCATTTTATATAAATGTATAATACATATGTATATATATATATATATATATATATATTTGTTTTACATAAAAGTCATTTCCAATTTCCTCCATCAATTATTTCCTCGGAAGATTTTCAACAAAATGTTACATTTTCATATGTTCACAAACTCTAAAACAATATCCCTGAAATCTTTTTTTTAGAAACTTCAGAAACTTCGGGGCCTTTTATAACTGACTATGCGGTATGGGCTTTGCTCATTGCTGAAGGCCGTACGGTGACCTATAGTTGTTAATTTCTGTGTCATTTGGGATCTTGTGGAGAGTTGTCGCATTGTCAATCATACCACATCTTCTTTTTTATATTCTGATGGTTCAGCTCACAGGAACCTGAGTGACCCACATTTAATGCTTCGTCTTTCATGAAAGATTAGAGTTTAAACAAACTTACTAATCCAACTTCCTCTCCTTTGTTATTTACATACTACAATCAATAAAATATCCTGTTTTTATAATAGATATATAAATCTCACAAAAAAGTATGAAGCACAATATACAAAACTGTACAAGTAGCATACAAAATTGTTGTAATGAGGTATTTTCAACCGTTGCTGTCAAGCAGATTCCTTAATATTTTAAGGATCTTCTTTAAATTCTTCAATAAAAATCTTTTGAATTTTGCATTTATATCATAACTTTTTTTTTCTGACTGTTCACTATATTTTCAATGCTCAATTGAAAGATCTAATCTATCTTTTATTCAGCTACTAGTATTGTATCTATAAAGACGTCAGTCTTATATTTACCGAATTAGACTATTTACCGGATTTGTAATAACATAAGCAACACGACGGGTGCCACATGTGGAGCAGGATCTGCTTACCCTTCCGGAGCACCTGAGATCACCCCCAGTTTTTGGTGGGGTTCGTGTTGCTTAGTCTTTAGTTTTCTATGTTGTGTCATCTGTACTATTATTTGTCTGTTTGTCTTTTTATTTTTGGCCATGACTTTGTCAGTTTGTTTTCGATCTATGAGTTTGACTGTCCATCTGGTATCTTTCGTCCCTCTTTTATATGTAATTTCCTGTTTTTCATCATGAAAGATCTTTATTGATGAAGAACTTAACTGATTAAAACAAGAAATACACTCATTTGAATCAGAATTATTATTTAACCTTCTAAAAGACGAAAAGAAATTGGATCTTGCAATGTTTTACTTTTTATATAATTATGTTCTGTCACTCTCACATTTCAGTGTGTTCTTGCTTTTCAAAAATTGTTTTGAACAGAAGGTCTATGTATTTCACTTTTGTCTGCACTGATTACATTTCTATAGTACCATTAATCTAATAAAACTGTATGAAATAATGCAAAGATTGTATGCACAATTTCCAATACTGAAATTGGAGCGTTTACCTTTGGAGTATAAATTAAGGCGACAGTTGTTTACTGGTGTTCAATTAGGTATCCTTGATGTCAATGATACACCATGGACTGTCTAGATCTGTGAATACGATGAAACATGAAACATTGTATTCCTTTGTTGCAATTTAAAACAATTGTTACAAAAAGGAAATAACAAGGATGTGTTGATGACATTATTGAAAAAAGTTCATATCCTACATTTAGCTAGTAGTTTACAAAAAGGGTGATTTTTCATTATACTTATATAATGTAATACCTTTTACCAAAACATCATGCATTTTCATATTAGAAAACGTAGTGACTACTTGTAATCAGTTTATTTGTTAATTTAGAACAAAAACATAGATGAAATCCGATCATTTCAATATATTTTATTGAGAGAAAATACAGACTTACTGCCACGTCTTTCAAGTATAAAGCGGTACTTTATCGAATGCTTCGGAATTCAACCAAATTGTAATGTATGGTGTGATATATTAAACTTTTTATGTATTTCAAAATTGGTGAAATGTTACCATCCAAATTTCAATTATATTGAAATCATGGCAAATAACCGTAATAGAGAGTAGTCAGCTAACAAGATATACTTTAGTAGATTTCTTTTCTATTAATTCAGGTTCAAATGAGTTGAACAGTCTCAGTACACGGTGAACAATATGATATGTGTTTGGGTACTCAACAATAAAGTTTTCTGACAGTTCTTTTGGGCAAATACAGCATCACTCAAACACATTTACAGGTTTTATTCTGACGTTCTTGTAACAATTGAAATAATACATATAAACAAGTCTAAATTGAAAACAACGTTCAAACCTATGCTTGCGTTGGATAAAAACCGCAATTTTTATACGTGTGCATGTAACAAATTTCGTTGTAGAAGGGTCTAAATACAGCACAAACAACATTTTCCAAAAGACCAAAAGAGTGAAAAAATATATTTTAACAAAACGCATTTGACTAGCAGGTCGAACAACGGATGTTCTAAAACCCTGCTGACTGCCATTGACGATTGCCAAATACATTGATCACAAGGTGTAACAAAATGGATCTCTATATTAATTTAATACCAAGTAGAAGACAATAAACTTGCAGCAAAGATGGTAAACCACAACATGAGGTGCTAAATTTTTTACACCATATCCGGATTTTGACAATTAATGTCTCTTCAGTGATGTTAGGGATCGAAAAATATTTGGAGGGCCATTTAATTTACCTCAATATAGGATAGACTCTTGCATTTTAAAGAGTCAAAATAGGATGAACGGATTATATAAACCGGAGGGAAAATATAATACAAGCCCAAACGAAATAAATATAAACAAGTCTAAATTGAAAACAACGTTCAAACCTATGAATGCGTTGGATAAAAACCGTAATTTTTATATATACATACTTTGTATAAGTTCGTCTGAACCAGTGACGACTCTACATCAGATTTTATCCATCGGATCACCAGTAATGGTGATACAAGGTTAAAAACACATTCTGTAAATATAAATCGTCTAAATAACAGCCCAACAATGTTAGATCTGTAAATTTGCGTTCTTCCCTGTCCGGGATTCGAAGTCATGCTACTTAGATATCGTGGCACCAAATCGCCTTACACTGTGCTTCCTATTCTTGATTATGACATTTTGTCTGAGTTTGAATTCGAATGTAAAGTGATGCATGCAAGACAAGACACTGTTACCTTTACAACACAACCTGTTTATAGGGCTTTCCACATCAGAGCCTAGGTGGTCGAGTGGTTTAGCGCGTCGGGCACAGATCTAACATTGTTGGGCTATTATTTAGACGAATTATATATAAATATAGATATATAAAAAAAACCTTGAATATTAGTCAATATTATTTCCAACGAGGGCGCTGGATCGTTACGAGTAACGATACATGTGCACAATAAACAAATTATATAAAAGCCTAAAAAGTGTACAAAACAACACCAATAACAAAAATATTTCTTTATAAAGCCCCCCTTCGAGTAAGTGTTTCGTTAACTATTTGTACCTTCAATTAATTCAAAATTGGTAGGAAAATTGGGCACAGAAATAACAACTTCTGTGATTGAATTTAATGCATTTTTGTTTGTTCCTCTTAATCTTTCTTTTTACCAATGAAAAGCAGTTAAAATGGACAGAGGATACTGCAATAACGTAAAAAGCTTCTGAAAATAGATGACGCTATATTTAACAGCAGTTACTTCCTTTGACAAGTACGGAGATCATATCTACAGGAATGCCACTGATAATACAGATTTTACCTATATACATATACATTCTCTCTGACAAAGTCCACGTTTCCATTCTCAATTTTCAACAATGAATAATTCACAAAAATTTCAAAATCACAAAAAAATCATTGTTTGAATTATGTTTAATTGCAGATGCATATCGTACAAAAGCGTTTGTAGTTGTCCTAATTTTTTTACAAATGGTGTTTTTGATGACTGATAGTCTATCATGTTCATTGCATGCAATATCTTTTAAATTGCCAGTGCTAGACAGATTTTACCTATATTCATATATATACCCTACAACAAGAAGAACTGTACTTAAATATATAAAAAAGTAATAACAATTGTGTATATTATGTATAATTGTAGATCGTACAAAGGCATCTAAAGCTGTCCTGCTATTACTTATATTCTTACATCGTAAGTACATCAAATCTAATCTATTAATCTCCCATATCATTGTTGATATTTTTTTTCAGTTAAAGGTAAAGGTTCTTGCAAACGTTCCAATATAGATTTCTTTCAAACTGATGAAACTTGGTGAAGCAAATCTTTCTTTCGGTAACTCAACACAGGGTTTATTAATTTTTTTAACTATGTGTTGTGATAATTCAATAACGCGGTTTTACCTTTGTGTTGACGTAACGAACGTCGTTCCCGGCAAAATTGACAGTTGCCGATTTAGCGTTACAAAATTCCGCCAACATGTGGCATTCGAATAACATCTTTGTTTTCTAACTTGTTATTAATCCTACATTTCTTTAGTTACTTGTGTTTATATGCTTTATATTGATAAATCGGTGTCGAGACGTATGAAATCGTGATTGCTTTCTTTATAATCTAATATTTACGTATGTATTGACAGTGATTTATATGACTAAAGGTATTGTAAGAAAGATTGAGAACAATCTTTACACTGGTGGCAGCGAATTTAGTTTTCTTTTTAAAGAAAATTTTAAGAATCTACGTGAATATTTTATTAGGCACGCAATTGATAAGTAAAAATATTTTAAATTGTTACTGTCCATATTTGTTTACACTTAAAAAAAGAAACTGAACATAATAAAAAAGGACACTTCAACAAAAGGTGATAGAAAAGAAAAGTACAGTTGGTGAGATTAATTAAGCTTATAGTATATATTTCAGTAGTTTTAAATTCAACAAGGATAAATATAAATCCAAGTTGAAAAGAAATAATATAGTTAATCAAAATCTATGTCAACAAGGATAAATTCTAATCCAAGTTGAAAAGGTTATAATTATTAAATTTGAGTATATATCAACAAGGATAAATATGAATCTAAGTTGAAATAAAATAGTTAAGGGGTATACATCACCAAAGATAAATTCTAATCTAAGTTGAATGTTAAAAGATAAAAAATTTTAAGTCAAATTTCAACAAGGATAAAATAAAATCCAAGTTGAGCTAGATTAATATTGAATACCATATTCAATAAGGATAAACTTTAATCCAAGTTGAGTTTGACAGTTAGAATTCTATTTTTAACAGGAATAAATCTGAATCCAAGTTGAATAATAATATTATAACCATAATTTTTTCAATAGGGTCCAGTTGTAAAATTTATAGTCTATTTCAAAGTTGTAAATTAAATAGTCCATTTCATAAGCTTATTTTTTACAACAAGGATAAATATAAATCCAAGTTGTAGTTATAATAATTTTTCGATAGAGTAGAAGTTAAAAAAAAAAAAATTATAGTCTATTTCGAAGTTGTAAATTAAATAGTACATTTCACAAAATAAGTTTTACAACAAGGATAAATATAAATCTAAGTTGTAGTTATATTTCATTAAGGTCAAAGTTGAACGTCTATAGTCTATTTCAAGTTTGTAATGTATATAGTCTATTTCACAAAGTAAGGATAGATTCATAATCCAAATTGTGTTTTAAAAGTAAGGCATAGGAAACTCTTTATCAATTTCAACAAGGATAAAAAGTCATCTAAGTTGAATAATTCTAAAAAAAAAAAAAAAAAAAGCACAAGATTAACAAGGATAAAATTTAATCCAAGTTGATTAGTAAATTGAAACTCTTGATTCCATTTAGCAGTCAAAAGTAAGATGTATAATTTGAGAAATAGACAACCTAGTATGTCTACGGGATCAATGTCTTTAGCAAGGGGAAGAGGAAGGGGGTCTGGAATAAACCCACCAAGTAGTTTAGCCATTCCCAACCATGCCATATCATCTGGGAATATGGAGGTCCATTTTTCAGGGGAATCTAGAAACTCTCATGATTATTTTAAAGCAAGGTTTAATATCCCTGAATTCAATAATGGGGAGACAATAAATAAGTATCCAAATATATTGCCTACTTCATTTAATGAAGGAGAAAGGGAAATAACTCATTTGACTGATGAAAATCCTCGTACCATGGATCATACTATCAACTTACCTGCTATAAAAAAAGAAATTGAGAATAACACTAATCCGTTCCTTGTTCCAACTCAAAGTCGAAGTGATAGCGCTTTAATTTCAAGATCAACCAATTATGATAGTGATGAGCTCACACAATTAAGAAGACAATTAGATTTCATAAGAGATTGTCCAAAACAGATGCCTTAAAGAATGAAAATTTTGAATTAAAGAGAACAGCCCAACAAAACAGCCTTCAGATACCAAGTTCAAGTCAAACAAACCCTAATCAAAATCTGGTCAACACAATTACCCAGTCAACAGAGTATATAGAACCGAATGTATATGCTGGTACCCATAGCCATGTAAACCAGGATATGGTTAGCAGCAACATTTCACAGAATCCAGTGCTTAACAATAATAGGTATACTCAGAGTCAATTTTTGAGCAACACCTATCCTCATTATACAATGCAAAGAAGCAACTATTCGCAAAATACAGTACAGAATAGCCGATATATACAAAATCAAGCCCCGAACAGTAATTTTTTACAATATCCAGTTCAAAATAGAGATTTCCAACAGTATCAACCAATCACAGAGCCAAACTTGTTACCAATGCAGCATCCCAGTGGACCACAGTATATCAATACATCAGTTTCAAGATTTAATGATAATGGACGCAGAACAAGAGTGTCATTCTATAACGGAAAGGATTCATGGAACGCATATGTGATGCAATTTGAACTGATTGCAGAAATGAATAATTGGAGTCCATCAACCAAAGCCATAGAACTGGTAACAGCTCTCAAAGATGAAGCAATGGTCTATGCTTCATTTCTTACACCAGAGACAAAAAGAACATATTCAGTACTTTGTGCAGCCATGTCCAACAGATTCGGAGACCATGGGTACCCTGAAACTTACAGACAAGAGCTCCATACTTTGAGAAAGAACAATAGAGAGACAATACAAGAATATGCATCAAGGGTCGAGATGTTGGTCAGGAAGTCTTTCCCCACAATTGACACAGCAACAAACAGTACACTCAGTGTGGAGTATATGCTTAGAGGATTACCGGACCAGTGTATTGCTATTGAGCTGCTGACAAAAAGGATTACCAGCATAACAGAGGCAATACATCAAGTTGCCCTGTATGAAACATATAAGAGAGGTACAAGAGATAGAAACATCCGTCAGCTTGGTACAACAGAGGACAGTTATAGAAATAATTGTGGGTCTGAAGATATAGAGGTCAGAAAAGTAGGAGGAAAAAGATTTGTAACAGAGGAAAGATTGACTCAGTTTGAAAGAGGAATTTCGGAGTCACTAGAGACAACCATTAAAAGAGAAATGGCAAAGTATTATACACAACAGGATTATTACGGTAGTCCATGGCAAATTAAGCAAGTGTATAGAGACCATACGACCAAGATGAAGAATTCCAGATGCTTTAACTGTAATGAGGAAGGCCATTTCATAAGAGATTGTCCAAAAGAAAAGAGAAGCCCCTATCATAATCATAAAGAAAATAGAGGTGGTTTTATAAGGAATAATGAAAGGAGTCAAAACCAAAATGAAGAGTCTTTAAACTACTTAGGGTTGAGACTATCGGCCAAGTGTCAGCCCCTAAACATGGTAAAGAAAAAGTTAAAGAGAATAATTTGAAATATGAAGAGAAACATTGCCAAATGAAAGAGCATTTGGTTGAACCGAAAAAATCAGTGAATACAGCTTATAAAAAGAGATCATTTGAAGAAGATAGCCTAGATATACGGGACCTAGATTTAAACCTAGAGATGTTGTTTGAGGAGTCTAAGGAGATACAACAGAACACACCAGAAACACACCAAAGGAGGTAATGGGTAGTGCAGAACCGATCAACGGGATAGAAGGAAATATTATCATTGCTCGGGTGACAGCAGCTAGCATTACAGTTCCAGTGGTCATTAACAAGATTGTGACGAATGCAGTTATTGACACTGGAGCAGAGGTGACGGCTCTAAGTGAGAAGTTGTATAATCAGATTCATGGGAGTAAACGGCCAAAACTAAGGAGAGCAGCAAGAAATTTGGTAGTTGCTGAGTCCGGTAAGAACTTGACAACAAGAGGGATTACAGAGGTGGAAGTTAATCTGTGAAGTGAAACCTTCAAATGGCCAGTTTATGTAGCACCCATTGGAGATAACATGTTATTAGGTTGTGACCTAATTGATGAAATGAATATCACAATCAATCCTAAGCAAGGATTACAGTTTAATGGTCAGTGGATTGAATGTGAGACTAAGAGACAAACTGATAGAGAAGCCAGAGTCGGAGTAAAGGACACCAATTCTGGGCTGATCATTGACAAAGAAGCGGAAAGAAGTGAGTTCCTGTCAATCAGAGATTCAATGTTAGAGCCGGTAATGGCCGATGACAGAAAACCCATGGTAGCAAGTACGCAGGATATGCATGTACATATAGGAAATATTACCAGTACAAGTTATAAGGGTACACAGACGGACAAGGTCGATGTCCATATGTTGCCTGAGCTCTTGCAACAAATTACAGAAGAAAATGTAAATGTTACAGAAGAAAATGTAAATGTTAAAGGAGAAAATGTAAATGTTACAGAAGAAAACGTTAATGTTACAGAAGAAAATGTTAATATAACAGAAGAAAATGTAAATGTTACAGAAGAAAATGTAAATGTTAAAGGAGAAAATGTAAATGTTACAGAAGAAAACGTTAATGTTACAGAAGAAAATGTTAATATTACAGAAGAAAATGTAAATGTTACAGGAGAAAATGTAAATGTTACAGAAGAAAATGTAAATGTTACTGAAGAAACCGTTAATGTTACAGAAGAAAATGTAAATGTTAAAGGAGAAAATGTAAATGTTACAGAAGAAAACGTTAATGTTAAAGAAGAAAATGTTAATATTACAGAAGAAAATGTAAATGTTACAGAAGAAAATGTAAATGTTAAAGGAGAACATGTAAATGTTACAGAAGAAAATGTAAATGTTACAGGAGAAAATGTAAATGTTACAGAAGAAAATGTAAATGTTACTTAAGAAACCGTTAATGTAACAGAAGAAAACGTTAAAATTACAAAAGAAAATGTAAACGTTACAGAAGAAAGCGTTAATGTTACAGAAGAAAATGTTAATGTTACAGAAGAAATTGTTAATGTTACAGAAGAAAATATAAATGTTACAGAAGAAAATGAAAATGTTACAGAGGAAAATATAAATGTTACAGAAGAAACTGTAAATGTTACAGAAGAAAATATACATGTTAATGAAGAAAATGTTGATATTATAGAAGAAAATGTAAATGTTACAGAAGAAAATGTAATTGTGACAAAAGAAATTGTGAATGTTCCTGTAACAGAAGAAAATCAAAATGTTCCAGTTACGGAAGAAATTGTAAATGTTTCAGTTAAAAAAGAGGATGGAAACATGTTCTGTCAGGAGGAAAAAATAAGTCAACTGAAAGAAAGTTTCCGTAATACAGATTTAGACCAAACTAAGAAAGAACTTGAGAATGAAAAACAGGTAACTCAAGACACACAAAAAGATTGGAGAAAAAGGAAGAAAAGAGCAGAAGAGGACGCAGAAAGAGAAAAGAACAGAAGAGGACACATAAAGAAAAAAAAGAACAGAAGAGGATACAGAAAGAAAGACAAAAAGAGACGAACCAATAATACAGTGAAGTTGTTGGACAAAGAAAACATTGAAAATTTCAAAAACATTTTATTATATTGAAAGACACAAAACTACAAAATTGTTGACATTATTTATATGTATAATGTTTTATATATCATTGGTACACTTTTATTATTATACGTGTCAAGAATCGTGATATATTCGTGATCTAGTCAACATTGACAAAAACAAATTTTCTTAATTTTAATATTCTATTGAGATAGCAGGTGCTTGTTTAGATTTTGTTTGATTGTATCTAATGATTTAATATTTCGCAATTATTTAAATTTCGAGACGAAATTCTATTTTGACGGATGGCAGTGTTGTGAGCATTCAATAACGCGGTTTTACCTTTGTGTTGACGTAACGAACGTCGTTCCCGGCAAAATTGACAGTTGCCGATTTAGCGTTACGAAATTCCGCCAACATGTGGCATTCGAATAACATCTTTGTTTTCTAACTTGTTATTAATCCTACATTTCTTTAGTTACTTGTGTTCATATGCTTTATATTGATAAATCGGTGTCGAGACGTATGAAATCGTGATTGCTTTCTTTATAATCTAATATTTACGTATGTATTGACAGTGATTTATATGATTAACCTTGACCAGTAGCGACCTATTTTCTTACGCGCAAGGATAAGGCGTGCTAAGGATTATAAAAAGGGGATTTTCCGACTAGCAAAACGAATTTGAACTCATCTTTACAGAAACTTAATAGGTAAATACTTCACGCACGAAAATCACAAAAAACCGTTAAGCATATTGTACTTTCATTCTTTGTAGTAATTTATAGTAATAATAATAATTTCTATTTCTTGAAATAGTAGTTTAGTTGTTATTTCTTTTAAAAAACCTGGCTAAGGTATTTCGGAAAGCTATTGAATAGAATAAATATCTAGAGACTAAAGGTATTGTAAGAAAGATTGAGAACAATCTTTACACTATGTACATTTTGTAAATGAATAAATCAGCGCTTAAAATTAAAAAAAAAAACACATATTTTTTCCTTTCTGGTGCGAACAAAATGATTGCAAAACTGGTACTTACATGAAGTTATAACAATAGGCTGATAAAAGATTGTTTCTATTTTCCTAATTTATACAATAAGAATATGATAAATGGATATTAGTTCCTTAGCATGAAACCTGACATGTTCAGCATGACCATCAAAATGTAATATTTGACAAGGATTCTCACTAGGATAATTTGAGGGTGAGTCCTTGAACTCATATCTTTAATAACATCTCGTAATTAGATTATAATAAAATCGAACAAAAAAGGTGACTAATTTCAAATGCTTTTGATTATTATCTCTGAAACTATGATAGATAGATAAAACTGTCAACATGACAAAAGATCAGCAATACAAGATCGTTTAGAAATTATAAAAAGACCAAAACAAAGTACTAGAAAGTATTTTTAAATGACGAATTTTGACTAATTAACGAGTTTTTGGTTATCATGTTGAAAACTATAAAAGATTGGTAAAAGCTATGAGCAGCAAAAATGGTTTAGCTACACATTCAATATATAAAAATGCTAAATGACTATATGATTAATTGATTGGTGGTGCTAAACGCCATTTTCAGTACTAATGGCTATCTCGTGTCTGTCAGTTTTGTATTGATAGGGGAAATCGAAGGGCCCAGGAAAAAACACCGACCTTTGGTATGAAAACTGACGATCTTAGTAATCAATTTGGGGTCGAACACACCTGCAACGTGCAGGTTTCAAACTTACAACGTCATTGTTGACAGCCTATTAACACAGCAGATACATTACATAGACCAATTGGCCAGCGAGGCCTCTAAATAAACTCATCATAGTTACCAGGATTGAAATTTTGTATTTTCGCCAGACGCTCGTTTCGTCTACAAAAGACTCATCAGTGACGCTCGAATCAAAAAATGTTAAAAAGGCCAACTAACACGAAAAGTAGAACGCAAATTTAGTGACTTTTTTTTCTTCTTTAACTCGACATTTCTGTGAAAAGTAAAAAAATAAAAATACAGAACTCCAAGTATTGTCTGTGTGTTAAACCATATCTACTCTCATATTATCTGTAATCATTATCATATGGCCTTCAACAATACTAATTAACCTTTATTCTTAGGTATCATAAGTAGAAAATGGTGGATTATCTTGTTATTTATATTGGCTTATGCGTTTGGCTATATGCCATTTTGTTTTTCTTTGTTGACATATTTGTTTGATTTCTAAATGATAAAGATTATAACGGAATGTTGACTGCTGTATCCCTTTCTTTAACACTTTTCCTATTTTGTCTGTTTGTTTTATTCACATGTTGTTGTCATATAACAGAATTTTATGCGAATTTCATAAGGAGATGTTAAGCTAGCTATAAAACCAGGTTTAATCCACCATATTTTTTTGTCAAACCTGCTTTAAAGTTAGTTTAACCAATAACTTGCATGACAGTCGCATAAAATTCCATTTAAGTGAAGACGATGAGTACGCAAACAAAACTAAAAACCAAAACTTAATGAATGTTTAACTTTTATTCTAACATGTCTAATACAGAGTTTGTTTTGTTCGACAAAATCGTACTTCTGGTGTTATACAACACATGTAAGATTTTTCGCATAATAATTTCTTGCTTCTTTCAGTCGTATTTTTGGGGATCTACATTTCAAACAGAATTTGTCGACAACATCACCAAACCTATAGTAAGTACATACTATATATAGTTTTTGTACTTTTCTGAAGCATAAATGAATATATAGGAAACATGTATTATGTATGTATGTCGGTATTTGTTTTTTGTTGCACTTCAGTGTTTCTGCTAATCCGTTTTTTTACAACTTATAGTTGATAGGTTTACCTCGGTTTAAATTTGTAACCCGGTTTTGTTTTCTCTCAATCGATTTATGACTTTTGAACAGCGGTATACTATTGTTGCCTTTTGTACAGTATTCTACCTAAGGAAGTTACGGAGTCTTTTGTACTATTTAATCCCAAATTAATAAACAATCGGTTCACTTTTTGTTTAACATATGCAAAACTATCAATAAAGATAACTTAGTGTTGTTTTATCTATTAAAACAACGTTTGTGTTTCAAAATTAGGGATTTGTTAACTGACTATGAAAAGTGTTATTAAGGGAGATAATTCCACTAATTACTGTTTATACTAAAATCAGCTAAACAGCCGAAGGTCACCAATGGGTCTTCAATGCAGCGAGAAACTCCCGCACCCGGAGGCGTCCTTCAGCTGGCCCCTAAACAAATATGTATACTAGTTCAGTGATAATGGACGTCATACTAAACTCCAAATTATACACAGGAAACTAACATTAAAAATGATACAAGACTAACAAAGGCCACAGGCTCCTGACTTGGGACAGGCGCAAAAAAATGCGGCCATATTTATTTTTTAATTCCTCAAAGCATTTTGTAAGAGCTATCTGCGCAAAGTGCATTTCGTGATTATTTCAATGACATGTACTTTTTTTTATCTATTCAAAAACTGTAATATTTTCTACGTTTTGTCCTTGCATAATACTAGCTTAAAAAACAACAGAGTTATACAATTATCTATTGTATTTTATTTTTTTTTCAAATTGAAGATTTTAATTACATCTTGATACACCATACCATGTTCTTAATCATACTAGCAAATCTGACACTACGTATATATATGTATTCATGAATGTCGAAAATTAATAATTAGAAAAAAAGGCAATTCCAATATCAAACAATCATCATAAAATGCTATGTAAATTTCAACTGTAAAAATCGCGAAAGCACACACTGGAACTAGACGAAAACATAGTTGATCTCTCCATGAAAGAAAAAAAACATCTTTTATTGTTTTGAAAAGACCCATTAAAACATATTCTTGTACTTAAGAGGAATTGTAACCGTTTTCGACAATAAAAAAAAGTAAGTTTATATGGTGAACAAGTTGGAATCCCAACAGTTTTATACCTGGTTAACAATTTATTATATGCGGAGTTGGTGCGTGTCAGTCTCAACCGCTTCCGCTGACAAAATCTATGGTTCTATTAAAAATTAAAAGGTCTTGTCATGATTGTTAAAAATTGATATTGTTAAGAGGCGGGGAAATGAACAGTTTTTTCTCTATAATAAATAATTAACGATATAAAAGACAGTGTTCAACTTCCAGCAAAACATAATGATACACTGAAAGGTTCGTCTTGACAATTCAGAATACATACTAGTAGATGGCGTTTATTGAGCTTTTTACAATAAAAGACCTCCACTATGCATCATTCTAGATTGACCTAATATGTGGAGAAGTAGGCATTAATGATACGATAAGGTTTGAGGGAGTGAATCTGACTTAAGTTGGCAAACTTTTTGTTGCATTGGAATACGTGAGGCAAACAAAGAAAGCATTATTTTGATTTTTGTGTTGGAGACATACAAATGATAGTTAAATTATTTAGATTTTAAATGTCAAATGTTTACGTCAGATAAAATCTTCTATGGTACTTGTCTCGAAATGCTGCAACATTGAGCCAAATATATAGAAAACATTGGGAAAAGAGACAAAAAGTATAATTCTGGCCACGAAAATATACAACATAATGAAGTCAAAGTTTTGGGTAAAGTTCATATGAAGGTCACGGTACCAAACATCGTCTGAAGGGAGTAAACCTTCTAACCAAATATTGTTAGAAGCCACTTTAGTAGTGACTGAATCAGGGTTGTATGAGAACAGCCACATGAATTAGATGAATAACAACAAAAAATACTTTTATAAATCATGATGTCACTTATCGTTAAAGCGGATATAATATATGAACAGAAAGGTCGACAGAATGGTCGACAGAAAATTCAAGCTATGTATCCCTCGCCGTTGTTCTACTATAAGTTCATATTGAAATATGTAAAACGTTATATATCATTGGCTCTCAAAGTTTTAGTTTGACCGATACCAATAAAGGTTAGTCAAGAAAAGCTATCAGACACGCACAATTTACAAAGTTTTATTTTCATGATTAGCACTAAATACAACTGCCTTTTGGCTCTAGGTCTCCGATGGTTTCTTCATGCATATCATATACCTTTAAATAAATCTCCATTGATAAGTAGTGGAATTCACCATTTTGGACTGTAATATATTTTGTCGATGTTTTAAATTAATTACGTGCTCTTAATGGTCCTTTTGATTCGGTTAACAGTTTTTCCTTTTCCACTATTTACACTACACTTCCACACAATCTTGTCAAACAAATGTTTACCTATTTAATTAAAAGGTCGTTCGATAAATCTGATTGCAAATTTATTTGCTGCAACTCATATTAAGCCTTTTTCAAACGGTAGAGTAAATATGTTAAATACACTTACCGGCATCTTCGCTAACAATCTAGTTCCTTTCTCTCTACCCTTGGCAGATTAAGCCAACATTTGTGAGTATAATGCAGCGCCATCTACCGATAGATAAAAGTAGCACCGATTCCGACTACATCATTCTTGCTCAATGACAGCACTTGAGCTCTCTTCTGAGGTGTAAATATTGTGTCTAGTGTTTACAAATTTCGTACAGCAGAAATCGAAAATAAACATTCTCATTCCAGTATTTGCGCAAGAAACATAACCAAGAACTTCAATTAGTTGATTGATAATTTTACAATTGTCACTAAACCAATGTTTTGGGGTGTTTCTCAATTAGCACGTGGTAATTGTTTATTTACATTTTCTACATTTACAAGTGGACATCTTAATGGCGCGTTTTGTTTGGATGCAGCCAGTTGTATTTATGGCAAAATATTTCGACACTGTAAACAATGGGTGTTTGGCTTAATTGTTAAAGACTGTAAAGTTACATCAGGTTATCCTTCTATCGGTTGTTGTTGTCCTAAATTCATAAATTTATTTGTGTATGTTCATAAAAATACTGTAATTCCATTCCCTTTGTACTATTTTACCTTTTTGTGTAGTTGAAAGAGGGGGGATCAAAAGTTGTTATGTAGTTGAAGGAGGGGGTCAATTATATTTGATCATTTCAAATTTACATTTTGCCCCCCCCCCCCCCCCCCCCCCCCCCGTGGAGATAAATAATGACCGGTCCCTAAACGATCAAGAGTTCTTGAAATATACTGCCGAGACTTACCTTAATCAAATCAAACAATGAACGTGTCCTTTACTATATTAAGACTTTTCAGTTTTACACAAGAAACTATACACAAAATTTCACGGCGAAAGGGATGATTTTCCCTATTATTAATTTTCCTTTTGTGGACGATGACGTTCCTCTAGCTTCATCTTACGGAGTTTACATATCCCAACTCGTTTGTCATGCCATTGTCTGTAGTGAAGTTTTGGATTTCAACGGGCGTAACCTATATATGCATTACTGAACCTATTTCAGACGGAAATTCACATCTTAAATTTTACGGTGATGTTGCTTACCAAGACCGGAAATTTAAATATGATCCGGGTAAACTTACCAATCCTTAGAATGAACTTATTCTTATATTTTATCAATTCAACAACACTGTAATAAGATTTTTTAATATATTTTTTATTGTTATAGATATTGATTTTGTTATCAGTTAATTAAAATCATACTAAATGTTTTCTTATACACATATGCATTTCAAAAGTAATACAATATGTTGTTACCGTTATATGTGCATGTACAACGTCATGTTTTTCTCTGACTATGAATGACGTCTTTTCAGTAAATCCATTGGATGTTTGAGGTGTACTGATTGATATTTTATTCTTATGAAAAGGGCTGCCAGTAATTTCGATTACTCTCAGATCTGCACTTTTTGTTCTAAGAGATGAGGGATGGTTAAATATCCTGCTACGTCCGGTGTGTGTTTATGTTTGATGTGTTTCAGATTTGTATAGATCTGTCGTTCTGTGACACCACTGAGCGCTCACAAACATGTGTAACCCAATCGCATTCTTTAAGTGTCTGTCCCAATTCAGTAGCCTGTAGTTCAGTCGTTGTCGTTGGTTCAATTCTAAAATATTTGTCTTTTTATCAATTGATTTGTTATAAATCAGGCCGTTAGTTTTCTCAATTGAATTGTTTCATATTTCTCATGTCGGTGCCTTTCATAGCCGATATAACTGTATGGATTATTCTCATTGCTGAAAGTCATAATTACTTACATCCACTCAATTTGAACTTTGGTGACTAGCTGTCTCTTTGGCAGTCATAACTCATCTCCTTATTTTTTTATATAGTAACGATCTATTATGCTAAAATTGCAACAGCAGACATGTTTCAAGTTGCACTTGTGTAAAACCAGCAATGAAATTTTCAATTGGAACTACCTTAAATGCATAGATAGTCTCTGTTTTTTGGGAGGTTTTAAGGAAGAATGCTATAATTCCCTGGAAAGAAGACATGCACTTCATTTATGAACCAAAGAAACCATATAGCTGTTGCGGCATATTTCCACGGTTTACTGATTTCTATATAAATATTGCTGGATCGCACTGAATTTTTCCATTATATTTGACTCAAGAATGTCTTCCAGTCGTCCTGAAAAATAAGTTAAAAAAAAAGACATTTTTACTTCTATCTATTTAATTCTCAAATTTTAATTCAAGTTTTAATTTTTAATCCTTGGAAACAACCATGTAAAGAGGAGCAGCATTGATATGTATATTAAATTTCTCCCAAACAGAGGAGTGGCTTGAAAATCACACGTTACACATTTATATACGTAGCGCAACACATTTTAAAAGTAAAATAACAAAAATACTGAACTCTAAGGAAAATTCAAAACGAAAAGTTCCTTTACAAAAGTCAATATAAAAAGCTCAAACACATCAAACACTGTCATTTTCCCTATTTACATTTCACAATTGAGGCTTAAATGTCGGGTTCTCTGCTAAAGTATTAGTAAAAAGACAAATTAATAATCGTAATGTTTATTTGTTTGTTTGACAGACTTTTACTCATGTTGGCTAAAATTAAATAGTCTACATTATTCCTTTAACTACTATATGTAATGCGACAACATTATGTATGTGCTACGTACGGTCATTGCAAGAGGGCGATGTCTAAACGGGATAACATGACCAATGATGACAATTCCCAAAAGGAGCATGAGGTTTAGTTTTTGAATTATATCATTTAGTCTTTCAGTAATGATTGATAACAATGGCACCTCTACTCTTGTGTTTAGCATTATTCCTTTATTCTATTTATTAGATATACCATCAGCTATACAAGTAATGTCCGAGAAAGATAGAAATAAATTCAAACAGCTAATGTCAAGTTCAAAGACAGAAAAACGTTATTTCCTAAGAATAATGATCGTTGGGAAGGAAACAGTCGGCAAAACATGCTTATTAAAGAGATTATTAAAAGAAAGTATTTTTGGAGTAAAAAGTACAGATGGTGTTGAAATTATTGTTCGTCAGTGCAAAATCAACATACAAGATGGTAAATGGATAATCGGCAAAGGTATGTACATTTGTAGATATAATACAATACAATACCCTTTTCCTTTATTTATATGTGTTGTAGATAGATGCGTCATAACAAACAGCTTTGACTGACACTGGCACTTGAAACTTAAAAGGTATATGGAGCATTCAAAGTGTTTTCTCCGGGGCTGTCGAGACATAATAAGATTGGTATAAGCCAGCTCAAGTTCTTTTGCTTCTTTCAAGACCAATTGACCTGTATATAATGAAGCTGATATGAAATTATACTGAGTTTTCCATACAATACAATTTATAACAAATCATTAAAAAAATCATTTTATTTTCAAATCATTGAATCACACAACCTTGTTTAGCCCGCATGACCACAATATCATATAGTATATTGAATGAGGTTAATATACATATTGATTCTTTTATTGATACCAGTGGATTATCGGAGTTATCCAATCGAAATAGTTAAATTATCAATTTTAAAGTCCGAGCTTTGGCGAAGACTTTAAAATTGATTATTTAACTATCGAGATTGAATAAATCCGATAATCCACTGGTATCAATGTTTGCAACTGGGCATTACTCAACAATAAGTACTGTTAAACCTTTGTCGCCAAAAGGCGAAAGAAAACATGTCTAGTTACAGCTCGACTCCATAAGTCCATCTTTCTGTCCGTCTGATCTCAAGACTTTGAGTAGGACATTTTTGTTCATTCTTTGTTTAGCCTCTATGAAATTAGGATGATTCAATATTTGGTCTGTAGCTTCTAATGTTGAGTTGTAGCGAGTAAGCAATTTTTACTATATCTACCGTTCAATCATTTTCTGTTTCTGTTAGTTTGACATTTCATAACTCTCATTGTTCCATTTAGCATGCTATAATCAGTACGATATGACCAAATGTAAAAAAGTTCAAACGTAGAAACCAACGGATCTGATTCATAAAAACGACTTGAACTGAGTAACGGGTTCCTGAATTGGAACAGGCAAATACAGTATGTGGCGTATTAACAAGTTTGCAAGCCCGCAAACATTGCCTCACATAGGATAGAAGTGTAATAGCACAACATGAAAACAAACTTTAAATTTCAGATTTGTACAAATCAGATAGAAAGAACTTGTAAACGTACAAAAAATATGATCTAAGAATACTTACGGACACTTAAAATTGTTCAATGTTATTTATAATTATAAATAAAAAAAAAAAGTCATGTATTGTAGAATATTCTTTACGCCAATTTAGAAAAATAAAATAGATAAAATATTCAGAGAATTTATATTTCAAAGAACATAATGATGAATTCTCAGATTTATCTTAAGGTTTTTAGATGACATTCCTATAAATGGTCGCCAAAACAATGTGTAAATATAGCATGGTTCTTTTATAAAAGTCTTCATCAACAGATACTACTAAACTGTGTCAGGAAGGTGACAAGAAATAAGTGACTGATGGCATTAGAACCAATATTCATGACACCGTGTATCGATTGAATATTAAAAGTTAAACATTTTCCTTTTTTTGTGTATTAACCACGAACACTGCTTTCATCATGTTCATCGTACATATGTTATGGAATTATCACCTCGGGTGTTTGTTTATGTGCATGTTTCATGGCTGGATTATCGCTAATGTTGTTTGCTTTCCTCTTTTCAACTCAATATCTTTTATGAAATAATTATTATCTTTTTGACACAATGTGACATGTATTTAAACCTACTCGACTCGGGCTATTAATAGCTTGACATATTGTTTTAAGACATGTCTTAAAACATATTTGTTAACTGGCACCTCTGGATGTATTTTATCTACAAAAAACTGCTAAAACAACAGTTTGACAACTGCTATAACACAAATAAGTACATGTATATCTTATTGTTCAAAAAGATAAAACACCTTTTCACAATGTATTATTTTTGTCAATGATATCAAAGAAATCACATGAGTAAAACAAAGAAACGAATGTATAAAACTGTCATATCATAGAGTAATATGGTGTGAAAGACATTTAGTCGAGTTCACTGATTATATGACCGAAACATGTTAGAATAAACAATATCGGGACTTAATCTAGATATATATGTAAAGCATAGTATATTTGGGCAAATCTACTGGAAATTTTCAGTGATTTAAATTATATTATTTTGTAAAAAGAAAACTTTATCTTTAATTATTTATGTTTACTATCTGAATTGTAAAATAAAATAAAGAGATAAGGCATGACTATTGTGATGGTAAGTAGGCGAAGCCTTAATCAATGTTACATAAGCATACTGAGTTAATGTGTTCTCAGATCAGTTAAAGTTACGCGCAAGCTACCAACGGAACATACAAATTCATAAGTCGAAAATAAATTTACAACAACATGTCAAAAACGAAAATGACAAAAAGACAAACAGAATGTGCTTTGGAAGATAAAGCAGATCTTGCTCCACATGTGGCACCTATCTTGATCTTCATGTAAAAACAAATCCGGTTATAAGTTTAATTGGTCACTGTTTTTCATGTATAATTCTTAGTCTCAAAAATATATATTTTCAAATTTCGTTTGTATTAAAAAAAAGTTGGAAGATAAAAATTGTACAAATAGACGACTTTTACGTGACGGTCAGTTACTACTTCAAGAAAGTACATGATTACTAATAATAATAACATATTAGTACCTTAATATTTATTTTGAACAGATAAAGGGGATGAAAAGAAAGACCGAATCAACAGAGCACTAGCAACACCCGAAAGAATGGACGAAGAGAATGGGATATTTTCTCATAGCATTGAGAACCCCAAAATTATTTCACCCAGATTGGTAAAATTTCAGGGGGGTAAAAGTAATGAAACTGATTTTGTTAAGAGTAAATATAGTACAACCAAAGCTTCTAAAATTGAGCACATAAAATCGAACGAAGATAACATCAATATGAAGGACATGATCAATCAACAGAATCATGAAGACGGGATGCTAAAATCATCTAAAACAAATGATAATGTCAAAACAGGAAGAAGTAATAATGATGCTGATAAAATGCCTCGACATTCTGTTTTTAATACTGGTTATAATGCATCATTAAAGAAAAATTATGAGAACGATAAGACAGAAAAGAAAAACGATTCAAATGTAACACAAATAAACACAAAAAGTCATTCAATTGAAAGTTCAAAGAAGAATACAGCATATTCATTGGAAATGCCCCCTAACATAATGTCTGATGTGTTATCCTGTTCATCCTCTAGTGACTCTTCAAATAATTGTCACTATGCATCATGTGGCTTATGGGACTTTGCTGGTCAACGTGAATTTTATGCTACCCATCAGGCATTTTTAACCAGTAGTGCAATTTATATTTTGGTGACGGACATGGATGCAGATATCGAGAAGCATGGTATACATCAGCACTTTGCAGAGTATAAAAATGTTGGAGGTATGTTGATCAAATCAAGATACAGTACACACTTTGTAAGTAATGGAAATATTTTGTACCTATAATAAACAAAAACGTGGTGAAACTCCCTTGTACTTGGTAAATGCAAAGAAAACTATTGTCAACAGCAGAATTAAAATTCTTCTTTGGAGTATAATGAACAAAACCTGTTTGCGATTTTGGCCAAAAAAAAATACACTTTACCTTAACCCCTTCGCCCCCAATCTCGCCTGTAGTCGTGATGGCGACCACCATTCTTTGATGGCCCGTATGACCCTCCATACTTTTTTAGAACTACCCCAGCTGAACTGTCTTGACAGCAGGGACTTCAACCATGCAATTCATAGTCCATAAACTCTTCTCAGATGTGTGTTTATGAAAATATGACAACTTTACAACTTTAATGGCCTTTTTAGAGTTCAAAAACGGAAAACGTTAAAAGTAGCCAAACTCAGGTAGGGGTGGGAGTCTTTTGATGACCACTTCGTCACTGGTGTGGGCTGTAGGTATAAACTATTATCATAAATACATGCATAGGTGGTTCAGGAACACAAGGAGGTATAATATGACCAAAAGAAATCTGGTCTGTAAAATCTAGGTCACCGTTTTGACAGAAATCTGTAAAAACGGACATTTAGGCAGACCTGGCTTGCCAATAATAATTCCCCAAGTCACATTTACTTCCAGTCAGTATGGATGGACTGCTGTAACTATAAGGTAATACCTGAATGACAAAGAAACACAGTTTGGTCAATGTTCACCTCTCAAGGTCGTATTAAAATCGAAAAATAGACTGAAAATGACCATTTTCAGTAGGGGTGGGTTCAAACCCACCAGAAAATATGTTTGCAAATTTTCGAAAATGCCTGATTTTCCAGAAATCTCTTGGGGTCGAATGAGTTAAATAAACATACACAGGTGCTCTGGGAAGATAAAGTGTTTTTGTCTCGTTTGCTATAACCGTCCATAAAACAGATACATGTACAATGAAAAGATAAATAACAAAGCCACAACTGACTATCAACATCTATGAATCTGATGAAGAATTAACATTATACAAATACTGATAACCTAACACAGAAAATACCAAAAGAATAATTAACTAGGTATAGGAAATCAAATTTATGCAAACATGCATGTGAAAAATATCCCCAAAATGCATTCTTCTCTCTTTTCAATAAAATAAAATTTGTATTATATGTCAGAACCGATTTAATAGAAATTTGGCAAGGGATACATTTTGGTCTAACAACCTATCGGCTGAGAAACAATTATTGCGGAAATTATTACATTAAAATTGTCCACTTTACTGTACTATCTTTTTATGAATAGCAAGCTAATCGCAATAAAACAAGATTTCAATTCTATATAACTACCAGCCAACTACGGACAAGGTAAGAAAAGTATTGCAAACTCAGAAAAAAAAATATAACTAACTATCAAGGAGAAGCTTTCCTTAATAAACATTTCATGAGTTTGATAAATAAACCGCAAACCTCAGTGTAACAATATCTATTATAAATGTTGAATGCCGTTATTGAACATACTGGTCATACCCAAGCGATCATACAGTCTATAAGCACATGTGTATAAGACAGAAAACAGAAGACCAAGTTTTGTTAAACAACTTTTTAACGCTTGAACAAATGTTCATTTAAAACTCTAATATATAAATATAAATTTGTTAAAGATTTAACTTCCCGTTCCGGCGTTATTCTCCCTTCTAGATAGAATGGTAAAATTTCCGAACAGCAACTTATAAACCTTTCAGCCATACTTGTCAAAGGTTATATATTGTTATTGATGATACTAGAGGTACAGTTTGAAATTGCCGACTTGGCGTTTGCCGTTGGGGGATTATGGTTCCTGTTTTTATGTTTTGGAGAATAACACTTTCTGTCGTTTTCATGCAATATCTAATGAACCACTTTGTGTCCTCTCCGTGTAATTACTTAAGAATGGTTCACATTTAGGTATGTAATAACGTATTACAAATGGAAGTCAAATTCGATAAAGACTATTTTATCATTTTACTGATTTCAGGATCGTTGATGGATTGGAAAATAGGCAGGTCAATCATATATATCTTTATTTCTCAATATACCATTTACAGTGGAATGGTACAGAGACCACATAATATTAATAACAAATCAACAAATCAACATATCTGAGAGAGATGTCAGCCCGGACCACACAACCCTTTATCAACAATTTCGATAAATTGACATAGTTTCAAACATGAAAGGTCCATACATTACGATTCATCAATTCCATTCTTTCTAGCGATCCCATTAAGCTCAACAATGGTAACAATACATAAATCTTGGTTTGCTATCAATTTGGCAGATCATTTCTTGTTTTAATTGCCTGTACGTGGCAGGTGGGTTCGACTTCATACTGAATTGAATAGAAGTGTATGTTTTTCAGCCAACGGTCAGTGCTGCTCTCCGGGTACTCCTGTTTCCTTCACCACGACGTAGCCAATAATGCTAAAAGTGGTGTTTAATTTTAATCAATTTATCGATCGTATTTCAAATTTATATAAGTTATACAATGGATGCGTTGGACACATGAAACAAGTTAATTTTACTCAATGTAACTTTACAAATAGGAATTATTATTCTTTGTGGTATCTCTATCAACGCTACAGATTTAAGTACCACAACAACCAAAATTGACCTCGGACATCTGTGTTCTACATGACTTTTTACTTATTTGTTTCAGAGTATGTTGATTTTTGGTTTGATAGTATACATTGTTATCGAACAGTCGAACAAACAAAAAATGAACCAACGGATCCTCCTGTCATTTTAGTTTTTACTGGTAAAGATAAGTATAAAAAGGTAAGAATATTTTCTGATTGATAACTTTTTAATGATAAGTATGCATTTTGTGTACTTTTGAAAGTATGGGTCGTAATAGAAATTATCATAATGATAGTAGAAAGTATGTATAATCAAGTATGGCATTATTCCAACCGAGGAATTTTAAGCGTTCTCTTTCAGTTTCAATTATTTACATATATATATACCTACATCAAATTTCAATGTCACATGCAATTTTAAATCAAAAAGCTACTCTTGTCAAACATTGCTTATTGACTATATAACTACATTGTGCATAGCACATAGATGAATGATGGTATTTGAGTATAACATGTCCATGATAAAGCATACCAATATGATTAAAAGATATGAGGTATTTATTAAGGATCAGTAAACAGATGACAGAAATGACTTAAACCACCATAATCAGTCATAAACTTATTCTAAAAGATTACCAATTCAACACTGTAATTATATCATTGAATATTTTTTTATTGCATGGTATGATGACGCGGTGTGTCAGTGTAAGATCATCCCGATGGCCGGAGGCCAGAGGGTGATCTTACACTGACACACCAAGTCCGAATGGGATAACTATTTTACATCCCAGCTGTTCTAGATTCGATAAAAAAAACCATTTACGCTTCATAAAATCTAGTTTAGATCGGCACACAATCCTGAAAATATACTTTATATATCCTTATATAGTATATACCTTATGTGAGCCCCGGACACAATGTTTAAATAGGTTAAAGTAACAGGATGTTTGTAACCAGTCGTCCTGGTGTAGGGGTTTGAATCGTGGGTCTATATGCTAAAGGTCTTGTGTTCGAATCCCAGCATAGACACTGGATTTTTTCTACATAAATTTTGAAAGTTAGTCTTTTCCGTATAAATAATTCTAAGTTTTATTGTGGATTAAGCATTCCAGCCAAAATGTTAAAAAACAAAGGAAAGCATGCAAAACAAAGAAACTTAAACTAGGTAATCTGGTAGGGGTGATCCGGCTCAGATCACCCTGGTAGAACAAAGGAGCTGGGATGTAATAATATTGATTTTGTTATCAGTTAATTAAAAGCAAACTAAATATTATTGTTATATACATATACACAATCATGGATCTACAATCTGTCGATACCTATATATTTGCATTACATGAGGTCATGTTTTTCTCTGACTGTTTATGATGTCTTTACACTAAATCCATTAGATGATGTATGTGTACTGATTGACAATTTAGTCTTAGATGCATGATTTTTTTATTAGTTGTTAGTGGCTTTGAACTAGCTGTCAGTAACTGCGAGTACTCTCAGATCTGTACTTAGTGTCTTTTCGTTGTTGAGATATACAAGTACCCGGCCACGTGTACTCTGTGTAGTATTTCTATTTGTATCCATCTGCTTAGTTAAGCCTTTTTCAACTGATTCTTATAGTTCATTCTCATGTTGTACTGTTATACCACTGTCCCAGGTTAGGGGAGGGTTGGGATCCTGCTTACATGTTTAACCCCGGCACATTCTGTATGTATGTGCCTGTCTCGTTTAATTGGTTTTACATTGTTATTTCGGGTTTTTTATAGCTGACTGTGCGGTATGGGTTTTGCTAATTGTTGAAGGCCGTACGGTGACCTATAGTTGTTAATTTCTGTGTCATTTGGTCTCTTGTGGAGAGTTGTCTCATTGGCAATCATACCACATCTTCTTTTTTTATATTTTCAATAGACATGTGTCAATATAAAACATTTTTACTTGACCAAGGTATTTTGATCCCCCTTACTTTGTCAAATTGCAACCCAACCCAACTTAATGTGCATTTTATATTTTACAATCGTAGAAAACAAATACAAGTTGCTCAATATTTTTAAGGGGGTTCAAATCACAATAGGGAAAAATGGACCACAGGGTCAGTTTTCCATATGGTAATTTGACACCTAGCTCATTTTCCAGAAAATTCAAAATACTATATAACGCCTGACAAGGAACCAAACTACTTACAGTTATGAAATCACTGGATAATTTCCTTGGTTATTCAGTGACTAATTCACACGGATAGTCGGCAAACTGCTGTAGGTCAAGTAAATTGTCACTACAGCACAGAAAAGTACAGTAAAGATATTTTTAGAGAAGAAAAAGAATCAAAGAATCCAGTTTTGTACAGATCATTGTCATAATCGTCATTTACAATAAAGGTTTTGCCCTACAGAAAATGTTGATAGGATTTATCAACAATTCGTTTTTGTTTTAACGCCAATATGTCACATGTGCTCATATATCCTTCAAGAGCACCTGCACTTACCCTGCTTGTTGGAGGAGTCCTAAATGTGCATTCCTTGGTCTAATATGTAGTCTTTTGTAGACATGATTTTCTTTTTTGACGTTTTTTTCCCACGTCGTCTGTTTCTCTTCGACATATTAGTTTTGCAGATTTGACCAGATAAAAAGTGAGTTGCAATATTGATGCCAATATGATGATTAATTTATAAATTATGTTACACTTTCATCTTGAAACAGTATTGAAACATTTGACTTTTCTACGCTTAACACATTTATTCCCCATTCCAAACTAAAAGACAAATTGAAATAGTTGGGCCTGCTTTGTTTCATTAAAAAATAATGGTCAACGTAGATACAAGTATCTTGTCTAAGAGAGTGATAAGTCGTTATTTGTTAAATAAAAATCACTCGGATTCAAACAAAAAATTAAGTGAAATTATCAAGATGCTTGATTTCTTGACTGACAACATACTTGGGACTTACGGAGGACTTGTTTTTCAACAAAAAATTGGTATTCCAATGGGATCAAACTGTGTCCCTCGTCTTGCCGACTTGTTCCTTTATTCACATGAGGCTGATTTTATACATGAACTTCTAAGGAAGAAAAACAGAAAGTCAGCAGTATCCTTATCTTTACTTTCTGCTACATAGATCATTTTATCTCACTAAGTGATTCAAAATTTGGACACAATGTTGACCGCATCTATCCCATCGGTGTTAGATAAAGAATACAACAGATACAGTCTGCCTCATATCTTGACTAACATTTACAAGTTGACAATGAGGGGCGGTTGAAAACAAAACTTTACGAAAAAAAAGATGATGATGTTAGCTTCCTAACATTGTGAACTTTCCATTTCTGTGTAGCAACATTCCAGCAGCGCCTTCATACGTAGTATATCTCCCACTCGATACGATTTTGTTAGGCCTATCATGATTTCCTGGTTTGAGGGTTACTGTTTACAATGAACATTTTAAACAAAGAGTTCCAAGCGGTGTAGTTTAAATCATCTCTTAGTAAATTTTACGGATGTCATCACGAGATAGTTGACTGTTATGGATTATCAATTTTACAGTTTTGTTGGGTTCGTGTTGCTTAGTCTTTAGTTTTCTATGTTGTGTTAGCCTGTTTATATTTTTATCTTTTTAGTCAAGGCATTATCAGTTTATTTTTTTAAATATGAGTTTGAATGTCACTTTGGTATCTTTTAGTTAGGCGAAAAGTAATATCACAAAAATCTTGAACTCCGAGGAAAATTCAAAACGGAAAGTCCCTTATCAAATGGCAAAATCAAATGATAAAACAAATCAAACGAATGGACGACAACTGTCATTTTCCTGACTTGGTACAGGCATTTTCAAATGTAGAAAATGGTGGATTTAACCTGGTTTTATAGCGCTAAACCTCTCACTTGTATGACAGTCGCATCAAATTCCATTATATTTACAACGATGCGTGAACAAAACAGACATAATAGGTAAAATTGTCAAAATATGGGGGACAGCAGTCATCACTGTGTCACACTATCAATTAGAACAAAAACAAAAAAATATTTAACAAAGAAGCACAAAAAGCATATATCAAATTTAACAACCACATTCATTGCTTACTTAAATATGTATTTTAAATCAACCCATAAAGGATTGAAATATTTGAAGTCCTGTGACTGCATTTACACGAACTCTAGTAGAGTCGCGTGTTTGACGTCAGAATGTAAACGTCACGGCACAGGAATTAATATATAATAATTTTGTCGTTCAAAGTATTTTCAAAATTATAATTTCACATTGGGAATGGTGGTATACAGGGTTAAAAAATCAAAAGTTTTGTAAGAACTAATTTCAGAAAAAGACCGAGATTTAAAATTATCCAGAAGTTCTTTAGAATTTTTAAGAATCCACATATTGTTAATACCACTACGCGAGTAAAATAATTTTGTCGTTCGAAATATAACTTAATTGTTTATATTGGCTTTCTTGCATTTCAACTTTTATCAGTACATATATTGGTTGTTATGAGACACATAATCTCAGACGACATAATACTCAGGTTAATTATTTCATAATCATTCTGAACATTTTTAGGCAACGTTCAGAGAAAGAAGAGAAAAACTTAATGAGCAGTTAATAAAAGTCATTGCGGGACAGAATAAATTTCATCATTTTCGACACAAATGTTTTTTATCAAATACTGAAGATCCTGACGAATATTTCGAAGATTTACGACGGAAAATATCCGACGTTGCACAGAAAATGCAGAATTGGGGAGAATCGATGCCTCTCAGGTGGATCCTTTTAGAACATTTGATTGACATCAATAAGAGTAAAGGAAAGAGTTTCATTTCACTTAATGATATGATAAATATAGCTAAACATCCTGAAATTGCAATATCTGATACCGAGGAATTGTTATTGTTCCTTCGTTTTCAAAATGAAGTCGGTAACATTATGTATTTTGAAGATATCAGAAATCTGATCATTCTCGATCCTCAGTGGTTGGCAAATGCTTTTCGATGTTTAGTGTCAAATAATCTTGACGTAAATGATGTAAGCGCTAACGTCTGTTATGATTTGACAAGGTTAAGAAAAACAGGTGAACTGAGCTATCTTCTACTTAGAACACTCTTCGAATTAAAAGGTGGAAGTCAGTTTGTAGAGCAAATGGACGATTTGATTGAAGTGATGAAAAGATTTGACATAATAGTGAATATGGAGGACACAGACTCTTATATTATGCCAAGTATGATGCCGATTTCTTCGTTCGAAACTGTTTGCAACGACATCGGCATATTTGCCGAAAAGTGTCAAAGAAGTTCCTGGTTTTGTCTTAAATTTTCGTTTCTCCCACCAGCATTTTTTAATCATTTATCAGCATGGTTAATACAAAAATATAAACCCAGCGGAATGAGAGATGATAGTGAAGCGCTTGCGTTATTCAGAGGAATTTGTGTTTTTAATTTTGACGAATTAGGTTGTGATAAACTTTTGATGACAATGTCAACTGATACAATAGCTCTTCAAGTTGTTTCGTTTACGAGTACAAAGAAGGGACTCGGCGACCTCTGTACTGAGGTTCGCAAAGAATTGATTAGACATATTGATAGCATAAAAAGGAGATATAAATTAAATATATCTTATGAACAAAGGTTTAAATGCAGTGATGGTCATTATCATATCAATACACTTTCCTTCGAAGACATGAAAAAAGGAAAGTATATTCATTGTTTACAGCATAAGAGTGTTCATGAATGTAGAGGGATATATTTACCTTGGACAATGGACATCGTTGAGGTAATTATTTTGAAACATACTTAAAATATGTGTGTTAACTAACACTATGACTCACTAATTTCTTTTTTTTTTTAATTTCTTGTTGGTGAAGCAACTGGTCTTTGTACGAAAACTAAATAAGCAACTGTTATACGCAATCCTTGCCTTTAACGCTATTTTTAAACTGATTACCCTAGCCCAATAATCGCAATCATTTTATTTGTTTGTCATCTCAAACTCTTTCCGTGATGTGTCATGCGCTCTAGAAACGCACTATTGCGTTTGTATCGCTGCTTGATGACTTACAATTGACGATTGTTTTTCTTAAACTGCGAGGAAAACAATTACTGGCCTTACAAGTATTGGTTTTTTTGTAAGTTGTCTTTTTAAATTAGTCAGACCATCTTTCGACTTTAACATATGACCCGCTGTTTCACAATATATTTTAACAACATTCCATTAAAAAGAGTGTCAAGTAAACAATCTAAAGGATCCTGCTTTGTTTCGTATTTTGTAAGCCAATGCCGGTTGGAGTACCGAAGCTCCATGTCATACATGTATTTGACATACACTACAAACTTCCCAAGAGTCTGAAAACACCATATTTTGTGCTCGAGCACAGATTTTACTTGACAAGACTTGACATAATCTGGACAATACTTAACTGTACTCGACTCTGCATGGTCTCGACTTTACTTAATTAGTCTGATTCAGTACTTGATAATCTTGGTATGGTCTCGCTTATGAACGACTAGTCTTGATTTGTGTCGACCTGTCTAGACTCAGTCTTGACCTTTTAATTTAGTCTCAACAGGTCTGAATCAGCCCAGCTAACTCAACTATATATTGATCTTACAAAATTATTTGGTAGATTGGTTCGATAATTCATTGTAGTCAAATTAAAAGATTTAATTAATGGGTAAAATAAGCTAGAACTTTCAGTTTTTATTAAATTTAGATAGTCTTCTTAAATTATTTTTATAAATTTTTCAAATCAACTTGGATTTTCATAAAACTCTACAGCTATCTCATTTATACATTGAACTAAGAAAATGCCAGGTTGTTTGGTAGTTTGGTTAACTACTGTCAAATTTAAGGATCTAACTAATAGGTAAAGAAAGACAGAATTTTCAGTTTAGACTTTATTCAGATTCACCGTAAAATATGTTTATAACTTTTCAAATCAAATTTGATATTCATAAAACTATACGGTTATCTCAATTATATATTGATCTTACAGAATGCAAGATATGTCGAGACTAAGTCAAGATTGGTCATGCATTTGTGAAGACCATTTTAAACGATACCAAGATTATCAAGTACTAAATAAGACTTATTAGACTTCAAAGTCAAAGCCAGTACAAGTCGTGATCAAACTTAATACTGTCGAGATAATGTCGAGTCTTATCAAGTAAAATGTCAGCTTCCTCATTGTGAACTTTCCATTTCTGTGTAGCAACATTCCAGCAGCGCCTGCATACGTAATATATATCTCCCACTCGATACGATTTTATTAGTCCTATCATGATTTTCTTGATAGAGGGTTTCTGCTTACAATGAACATATTAAACAAAGAGTTCCAAGCGGTGAAGTTTAAATCATCTCTTAGTAAATTTTACGGACGTCATCACGAGATAGTTGACTGTTATGGATTATCAGTTTTACAGTTTTGCGGGGTTCGTGTTGCTTAGTCTTTAGTTTTCTATGTTGTGTTTGTGTACTGTTGTTTGTCTGTTTGTATTTTTACCTTTTTAGCCATGGCATTATCAGTTTATATTTTAAATATGAATTTGAATGTCACTTTTGTATTACTGTTTACTACACATTACAGGCTACGAATGGGTATCAGATTCAGTATCAATGACAAAAGACGCATCCAATGAACATACTTTTATCATTTCACATGAAAGTCAACACATTTATTTGGATTTGAACTGTGAGCAGTAACATTTACTTGAAGAATACAAGTTCAAGTACAAGCTAATGCTAATGCTAACGGATTACTAACACTATCATATAGTAATTAGATAGATTTTATAGTGTTGTTCCTTCCAAATTATTTTCTTTTAGTTTCTGGAAATTGTTTAAAAAGATTTTGTAAAATTGTGTTTTATGGTAAAGGTAAATAAGATTATCGATTTATCGATTATTGGTTTCAGAATAATTTTGTTTCTTCAAAATGTCCAATATAACTCTTTCTTTTTGAGAGAAGAAAATGTAATATCGTATCTGAGAATTTCCATAATTTTTAACATGTTCCTTAGATTACATTCAGGCAATAAATTCAACCAATACGTATGTATTATATACGTTTATAAGGAAACATGGAATTAATTCGTTGATCGCAGCTAGAAAATATTACTACTTTTGTTTCATTTATCCATTATGTAAACCTTTAGAATTACCTGAAGAAAATTTGTTTGTATTGTAGTTTACTGAAGAGGAAATCAGCTATTTGAGAATTGTTGTATTGTTACATGTAGCAGAAGATGCCGTTAGGATTGTATTTGACGATGAATTCCATCCAGATGCACTCTCCAAAGTGATTGGTAAAGAAAAACAGAAGATCAGAAAACATTTGAATAGATTTCAGTGGGATACCTTGCGCAATATGCGTGTCGATGAAGGTAATCTTGATAAGTTACTTTAAAGTAGGTATGGCAACGAGTACTCGAGTACTCGTTCGAAAGGTAGAGTACTCGAGTACAATTTTACTACTCGGATACTCGTTCGCCTTTTATAAATCTTGAGATATTTCCTCTGAATTAAGTTCCCTTTGAAATATCCTTCGTAATACTTATAAAAATAATATCTATTCACAACGTAAATTTGTTTATCCTTACTCCTGTATGTGTTATTACTAAGTCTCAGGTTTATCTTTTAAGGAAAAACGTGTTTTAGCAGTACCAGCATAGCACGTCCCTTCAGATAGGATTTTTTCATGTGCAGGACTTGTTATATCAAAACTTAAAACTTTCACCTGAAGTTGTGGGTCAGATCATATTTCTGAATAAAAACAAAATCAAAGTGTCCTGTGGTGAATCCGATGCAACTGATTCGAGACATTTTAACGGTGTTTGTACACGGATTAACGCTTTCATGAATTAATAACTCACAAGCCGTAAACTAAGTATTTTTTTTATATAATTACTACATGTCTTTGTTTGTTAATCCAGACCTCTTTGTTAACGTGATTGGTATGAGATCTACATTTAATGTAATGGGTGTTTACTTGAAACTTTAAATTTATTTTTTAATTTATAATCATTTATCGTTTCAAATAAACAATTTTAAGTCCAATATTTTGATGACAAATAATGAGACAAGTCGTAATATATAAAAAATACTAACTCCACAAGAACCGGAAGCTGATACAGATTGTCTATCAAGTCGGACTTTATAAGCATATTGATGGTTTTATTGGCAAGTTTCGGATTTGGTTCGTGAACACACAAACAATAACTGCTATTATGATAGGTTACATTTTAGAAACGGTGGTGCGTTATTCATTTTTTTATTGAAACAAAAAAAGTTTAGCGATACACATAACCATGGACCATGTTATATTTTGTAGTCATATAGTTTGAGTTCTGTAACAATACGGATGTCTTTCGTTAAGATGTCATTATATTATAATTAAGTTTATGATAGGTAATAACCAAAATACCACATCCCAACAAAAATGAAAACTTTTCACTGAATGTTAAAGATTTATCCGGGTACTCGAGTACTCGCGAGTAACTTGTCTGAGTACCAGAGTATAAAATTTCAGATCTTCTGACATCCCTACTTTTAAGCGAGAAGTGAAGAAACATACTTATATTGGAAATATTCGGCAATGCTTGACTACAGAACATGATATATTTCTAATCATAACAAAACTCAGAGGGTGAGAAGCCAGATGGCATATACAATGTTCGTAATAGGTTTTTTTTTTCAAAGACACACAATGTGCTCTATCATTCTCTCAGCTGTATGTCATTTCATTCATTATACTGAACAATCTGATAAAACTTTCTGTTGAATTTCAAATTGGAAGTAATAAATGTTGATGTCGTGTCTTTAATAACTGTAAAGTAATTAGAAAAGTTACAAAAGTCAAGAAACGAAATGATTGATAGACTAATTGGTTTATATCGCCACTATCCACACTATTTTGTTGCAGTTAGATTTTATTGTTGGAGGAAGCTGGAGTGCCAGGAAAAAACACCGATTTTTGGTATGAAAAGTGACAATCCAAGTGAATTAAGGTTGGAGTCGAGCGCACCTGCCATGTGCGTGATTCAAACTCACAACGTTAGTGTTGAGAGGATAGTGATACAGTAGTTCGATTACCTTGACCTCTCGGCTATTGAGTCACCATAAAAGAACTTGAGCATTGTCTTAGAGTTTACTTCATTTATTCTTTTGCCTAAGATTTAAGCTAAAGAAGAGACATCCGTTTTCTGATATTCATGTTTAAGACTGGAATAAAGTAGATTAATAATGACACATTTTTATTGGTAAAGACTTTACGTTCGTCAAATTTTGGATAAAACACATTTTTGGACAATAACATTTACATAAACATTGCATTCGCTATTTGGAGGTAATAATTGAATTATTTGTCTGTATTTGTTTTCTTTGTTGTTTTCTGTTTATCCAATGTCACCCGGAACAAGCAATTTCTATCGGAAAATAAGTAATTCTGAACATTTATTGACATATTTCAATGCCAGGCCCACGTTTGTATATTTGAACAGTCTGTCCTCGTTGAAGCTAGCTTGTCTGTTGAATTCTTTCTAAGAATCTATCGTCAACCATACCAAATTTCAATAGTAAATAATTATAGTTCTGATTTATATTTCAGCGTCGAGCAAAATGTTTGACTTGCATATGATGTTATGTTTTTTAAAGAACACAACTGATCCTTCGATAGGCAATGAGTTTGATCCATCACACACTTCAAAATCTTCAGCATTGTCTCGAATCTGGTTTTGTAAGACACAAATGTCGCAAAATGTCAATGGCAAACTCGAAAAAGAGGATTTCAAATCTTTCTGGAGTACCATCAACGAGGTAAGATACGAAATGAACTAAGTAAAAAAGCTGTGTTCATTGAAATGTTAATTGTCGTTTGTTTTTGATACATTATTTATAGCAAAATGAAGCCGTTCATGCCGGTTTTTAGACTTACACCACGAAAAAAAAACCTGTGGATAATATGCTTGTAGGCTAGTATGGGACTAACTGTTATTAACGGTTTGTTGACTTAAGGGGTACATTTTCACAATACTAGACGCTCATACTAAAAGCAGCTTCCGAATTACGAACTGAGCGACACACGAATGTATCAACGCAACAAAAATTGACTCAAAGGTAAATTTCTGAACATTGAATATAAATCTATTCAAACAGACACTTAAAGATGCAAATTTACAAAATAGGTTCAGATTACATTTACAATTTGGTAACTCATCAACATGTACATTTGACTCAAAAAGTTAAGATTATATTTATACAAGTGAAAATATACTGAAACTGCTAAATAGTCTTAGATAGGATTTTTTTTTATTTTACGTTCAAACTATGAGCTTGTAATAGAACAAGGAAGACAGGAAAATCAACCAAGGGAAATTAGATTGTGTACAATGTGTAATAGAAATGCAATTGAAGATGAATTCTATTTTTGTCCAGATTTGTCCGAATTGTCTGATGTCAAGAGAAATTGTGTTCCATTATAAGGCCGACGTTATCGTTTCAAAGACACGTGCATTAATCTTTTCAAAACTAATTTTTTAAAAACCTTAAAATGGTTTGTTATATTTTTTTAACAAAAGCCTGACGCTGATGAGAAGAAATTTTGTCATTTAGACTTTACGATTGATAATATTTTTGGTAAATGAATTAGTTTATTGCAAATATCGGTCTATTAAAACACATTATACAAATAATTGAATACAAATATATGTATATCGTGTGTGTTGTATTCTTTAATATATGTTTCTATTAAACTATACACGCTATAGTTGACATTGTATATTGTGAACTTATGAATATAAATAGTGGTGGAGACCTTTTATGTTATCAATAAACTTGAATTGATTTTGATTTGAAAAGGCTTTATAATTATGTTATATCAAAGGCTTAGGCATTTTATGTCATGTATATAAAACAAACATGCATGTTCTTATACAGAATATGTTGTAGCGTTTGTATTGCATGACTTATTTATCTCAATGACGTTTTACCTCGGAGTCTATAAGCAACCATTTTATATTAATATAAATTTACATTTTTCACTTTCTAGGTATTAAAATACTTTTATTGTAGTGGGTAGGTCATCTGATTGATTCCAATTATCAACTGCCAACTTCAAATATGTATCTGTATTGAGATACAATGACATTGCATTAAAGTTTTTGGACATTGCAAGCCTTATATTTTTCATTATATATATATATGGTTTAGCTGCTTCTAGGTATAATCTTATTATATAGACTGAAATTGATTGTTCTTTGTACGTCTACGGTCAGCGTAGGTCAAATTAAATCTTTATAATTCTTTTTTGTTTAAGTTTTCTACAGAAATTCAGAGGCATGTACATGTACATCCGTTTACTTTTAAGGTTAGAATATTTTTGTCAATTTTTTTTTTTTACATTTTCGAAGAAACTAATTTATCTTAACCTTATGATACAAGTTATAATTTGACACACATCAATAATTATATTCACTTTCAGGCGTTTAAGTGGTTAGGACATCAAAGTCATAATTCGCTGACAATGAAATGTTTAAGAATTCGAAACTGCGACTTGGATGACAGAGGCGAGGTAAAATTTTGTTTGTATAAAGAAAAATACTCATACCAGTCAGACAAAACTTGAATATGCTGAAGATAAAAACTCAAGAACACTTCAAGAAAGAAAGGTCATTGACCCAATATAAAAAAAGAGTCAACATTTGAAACAACCCAGAATTGATTGTCAACTTAGCCTTTGCTAATCTTTCCCGTCCGCTTTCGAGTCCAACATCTTGTATGATTTCTTATAAGAAATATCTAGTCTTGCTGCATTTTAAAAACTGTGGAGTAATATTCGACAAAAGAAATATGATCTTATATCAACTATATATTTCAATTTGTTCATTTTTTGCCACTCTCGTCATTTTATATTAATATATTTTGCAAGAAAAAGTTACTTTGATAAACTCCAATAACAATAATCGGGGTTTTTTTTACATGAAACATGTGAAAGGGAAGCCATTAAATTATGAATAATTGCTATATTTGTTTTTGGCAAATAAGTTGGAATCATTTTCTCTTTTTCTTTTTTATTCTGTACCTGCATTACAATAAAGTTATTTTGAAACCACATGGTGGATTATGTTCAGAAATGATGAGTTATATAAGTGGTTACTGAACTTATGTAAACGAAAACTATAACTAAAACCAATGATTTTTTTATTCCTTTAGTTCTTTAGAATAGCTTGATTTTCTGAATAAGTCTACACAAATTTTGAAACGTTTTAACGACATTCTTAAAAAGTGCCAATAGTCTCAATAAATTCATGTTCTGTCATTATAATTGAGTTCGTTTCATACTTCAGGATTGTTTCTTTTTGTTGTCGGCATCTTTTGAATAGACCCATTGGTGGCCTTCGGCTGTTGTCTGCTCTTTGGTCGGGTTGTTGTTTCTTTGACATATTCCCCATTTCCATTCTCAATTTTAAATACTTTCTCATTTTACTGAATATTATGTAACAGCATTAAAATTCAATAATATAGGTACTAAACATGGGATTGTTACACAAATTCTGAGCTTTATGAATCTGAGAATTCTGATTCAGAAACAATTTTTAGCAATGATTTTAAGTGCCATTTGTTTTATATCATGTGCTGCTATCAAAGATATTCTTTTTGATACATCAGGATTGTTTGTTTTATAAAAATCATGATATATATGTTAGCGGCAATAAGTGAAAATAGGCATTAAGATTAAAACCTAGGCAATAAGCTAGATATTAAGTTATTGCCTGAAATTTTCAGGCATTAAGCTTATTTCCTGAAATCTGATGATTATTATTCAACCCATTGCCAAACATCGTTTCAGGCAAAAAGTTGATGGTGGGATATTTGTTTATCTTCCAAATACATGTTTATTCGTTGAAATATTTTTGATGAATAATATTAAAAGAAATATATTTCATAAATGAATATAAACTGATTTTAAAACATCATCCTTTAGTATTTTTTCGTATTCAAAACAGAACTTACTCTTATTTCTGTCTGGTATTGCTCTTCAATGGTCGAGCCGGTCCTATCTGGTAAAAAATAGACAACTGAAGGTATGAAAATTTGACAATCACATTATCTTTTCATCTGTTTTATTGGATATGTAAATTTTCTTTAATACTCATCTTGGCAAACAATTTCCAGGTTTCCATTGTTAAGTCATAGTTCCGTTTGGTGTACTTTTTAAATCGGTATAAGAAAAATCAAAACTGAAACGGTTATTGATCAGGATGAGTATAGATTAATTGCTTCATTTATTTGGATATTCTAAAATACATTTCTGTTTTTGACAGAAATTACAATAAAATATTTATTATCAGGTTTGACTGTGAAACACTGATTTAAGATTTACATTTTACGCAAAATATTATAAAATATTTTATGTCCCACCCTTTGATTGGAAAAACATATTATGTGTGTTAGTAAAAAGTAAAATCACAAAAATACTGAACTCCGAGGAAAATTCAAAACGGAAAGTCCCTTATCAAATGGCAAAATCTAATGATAAAACACATCAAACAAATGGACAACAACTGTCATATTCCTGACTTGGTACAGGCATTTCCAAATGTAGAAAAGTATTAGATACAATACAAAGGTAACAAAGAAACTGGCCGGTAACAACCGTTGCCGGATAGTTTTTCTGCACGAGTAGTCAGGTGAAGGTCCGAGGCGATAGCCGAGGACCTTGACCTGACTACGAGTGCAGAAAAACTATTCGGCAGTTTGTTTCCGGCCTGTTTTTTTGTTACCTTTGTTTTGTATCTGACTTGTACGACGTTTCAAGAAAGAAGTAGTACATTTTGCATGTAGAAGAGGTATCAAAATTTAACAGATTCGAAACTTAAATGGCCATATACCAGTTAATGTAAGTTACAGTAAGACAGTTTAAACAAACTTTTTTTTCACTTCCCTTCAGCCTATAGTTGTTTCTAAAGAAATTCAAGAATCTAATTATTTCATAAAAAAGAACCATGTCAAGTAAAAGATGAATGTCGTACATTTTAGACATTTAAAAATGCATCTTCGCAAGTAAGTAATGTATGAAAAAGATTTCAGAGGAAAGCAAGCTAACATTTGATTTTTATTTGAGGGAAAACGGAAAAGGGGGGGGGGTTAAGATAATTTAAAATAAACAGGCTTGATTCTTTTTTGTTGAAAACATGCAGGATGTGTCATTCCATTCCCCCATTCCGCCTTAAAAAATAAGATAAATCGGACGTTTGCCCCCAAATATATAAATTCAATAACAATATAAAAAGAATGAATTTCCTATTTCATTAGTGAATGAAATGGTACGAAAAAATCGATTTTGTCTTGTTAAAATCACCCATATATAGGCATATATTTGGGATTTTTTTTTTAAATTATTCTTATAGGTTTTTATATATGTTTCTAATAGTGTTGGTCAGGATCACAATATGATCCAATCGCAGCTTACCGTCCAAAATTGGTGACATAAGTTGAATGATTTTCTTCAAGATTTGCTGCCTATTTGAACATGTATTACACGGACACTTTTTATTTATAGGATCAATCGTGCATTGGTGAGTTGATAGGGAGTTTATCTTTTAATTAGATTTGGTTTTTTAATTATATATTTCCTGTCTTTTTTATTGAAATATAAACGTCGGTACCAGCATTTCTCTACTTTCAGCATTGTCCCGAAACTATTCATGTCCATATATTGAAGAAAAAAAATACATTTGCGGACCGACCATTTAGTTTCAAAAGGGAGGTATGTTTTTTTCTGAGTAAGAAAATGATTTAGTTTATCAACGCTATCTCCCAAATATTTTTTTTCGAAATTAGCACTATTATATACGGTATTCGGAAAATCAGGAATCAGAACATTATTTTGTCATCTGATTGACCACAATATATTTTTTCTCATAAAATTGGGGATCAGAATATTGTTTTAGGAAAAAACATAACTCCCCTTTTGAAGTTAAATGGTAAATCCCTTAGTGTACTGATATGAATAGTAATAATCTGGAATTGTTTGAAAAAAATTTAGTTATTGATGCCAAGGGAAATATTTTAATGAAAAAGACAAGAAATATGTCGGTGAAACAAAAAGTTCAAATCTAATTGAAATTTAAAGTGCCCATGAACTCACTGATCACGCACGAGTGATTCTATTCATAAAAAGTGTCCGTGTAACAACTAAAAAGTGTCCGTGTATCATCTAAAAAGTGTCCGTGTAACACCCGTTAATGTACTGTTTTTCTATAGCTCTGCTGGGGGCAAAGTCGTACAATGGTGGATTGAACCTGGTTTTATAGCGCTAAACCTCTCACTTGTATGACATGCGCATCAAATTCCAATATATTTATAACGATGCGTGAACAAAACAGACATAATAGGTAAAATTGTCAAAATAGGGATACAGCAATCATCACCGTGTCACAATCTCACATTGACTTAGAGTGCTTTTTTACCTGTAACACGGTAGGTCATTCGCGCTACAAACACTATGGACATTTGCGCTTTAAATTTTGATACATTTGCATTAGATTGACCGAACATTTGCGCTTTTTACCTATAGTCATCTACCTGTAATTTTAATGAGTGTAATAATAATTATGTAAATCAATTCAACTTACATTTGTGGTTAGTTAGTTCACATTGACTTAGAGTTTAAAGTTATAGACTAGTAAAAAGAAAATATATGTCACGATGGATTTTTACGTTTGAACAACAGTCGTTAATTTCATTAAAATGCATTTTATTGATAGACAGGGACCTCAGTCAAGAATTGAGAAAAAGAAACTAGATTTTTTATTTGATGTGGCGTAAATACCAGTCAGGACAGATTACAAGCGCTATATTTGTTCATTCCCTGCGCTTCAGATATCAAGAAAAACTGACCTGTGATGACTTCATGTCTTTATATAATGTTCACTTTTAGCTATATATAACTATTTTAATGTGCTATGAAACGACTTTTAAACAGAAATGTGCGATGACGTGACTATCAAACTTTTAACCATAGTGAAATTGGATCCTAAGCCTGGAAAAAATAGGAAAGAAGTCATAAGAAGCAAATATATTTAAAAACACAAATGTCCAATATTAAAAGTGCAGATGTCCTTTTTTAAAAAGCACATATGTCCTATAAATTAAAGCACATATGTCCTATAAATTAAAGCACAAATATCCATTAAAAAAGCGCAAATGTCCTATGAAAAGGTGCAAACGTCCCGCGCTAGGCCAGAACTAGTTATTGTTCACGGGACGCCAATTCATCTCAAATCACACGGTAATATTGAGTGGTCAAACTGAAATTTTCATCACATGCTTACTGTAAAGATTAGGAACAAGGAATTAACAGTGGCCAATTGGAATCAAATACGTTCATATACAAACGAGTTCTGCCTTACGTAAAGGTATTGGACGATTACCAGGTACAGATGGTAAAAAAAACTGGGAAATGTACTAAAACATCGCAACAATTGGTAACAAATACATTTCAATACAATTTTCTATCAATATAAAAATAAGTAGATGTATTATGATTGCCAATGAAACACTTATCTA